ACCCTTCTAAGAGCTGTGGTGTCCAAGATACCAGGGGTCAGGCTATGTTCAGCAGAGAATGTCTAGTTCATCAGTGTTTTGTTCCTTATTCTGTCCACGGCCAGAACCCTGACCTACTTCCCACAGATGCTTCAGGTAGCTTTGCTTTGTGATACGGGGAAAGTGGTGACTCCTGAGTCAGGGGCCCCGGGTTCAAATCCCACTTCCGATATGTACTTCTGGTGTGACCTAGGACAACTCACTTAACCTCTCTGGGCCTTACTTTCCTCATTGAGGTCCCTTCGAGCTCTAGAAACTCCTATGATCCCAGGAGTGTGTGTGTGTGTTTCTAAAATTGCTTCCAGCTAAGCAATCGTCTGACAGATTTTCTCATATGATATAAAATGTTTACATTTACACATGGAGTTACACTTGCATTCTAGCCCATCTCTTACTCAAAGACTTCCCTGAGGTTAGACGGAGGTGGTAATTAGTGAGAAGGGCCACGGGTCAAGGCAAAAGTAGAGCTCTGCCAGATGACTGGCTAGGGCCACCATTACTGCTGATTCTGCATCAGCTACAGAAGGTGGAGCCATAGAGTTCTCTCGAGAAGTTTGGATTCAGTCAAAGGCCACACTTGAGGACCTAGAGGGCCACATGTGACCTCGAGGCCTGTCCTAGAACTTTGGAGATAGTTAGCCCTTAATGATTGCTTGATGAATCTTTCTTCTCACAATCACCACTTTTCAGCCTCTGAAACAAGGTGTGCCCCTTCCCCTGCATTTTAGGTACGGTAACAACACTCGGAACTACATCGTCAGAGTTGGGGACTATCACACGCTGGTGCCAGAGGAGTTTGAAGAAGAGCTCGGGGTCCAGCAGATTGTGATTCACCGGCAGTACAGGCCGGACAGCAGTGACTATGACATCGCCTTGGTGAGGCTACAGGGACCACAGGAGCAGTGTGCCACATTCAACAGCCACGTTCTGCCTGCCTGCCTGCCCTGGAGACGGGAGAGGCCGCAGAAGACCGCGCCCAACTGTTACATCACTGGATGGGGAGACACGGGTGAGTATGAATTAATAGAAAGGATGCAGGACCTAGGCTCAGGACATGTTAACGTGACCTGGTGGCAGAAGTTTTGGGGGACTTCTCACTTCTCTGGCTCATTTCCTTTTTACACACAGTCTGGCCCAGATAGTTTCTGTACAGCCTCTCCTCTGGAACAAGCTGACGGGCCGCACCCGGCGGCTCACGCTGCTCTCTTGGGTTCTTACTCTTCTGTCTCCAGGAGCCTTACTAGGTCCCCTGTGGGCAGCACAGGTTCAGCGCCTGGTTGATCTCTGGCGAGATTTCACAGCAGGGGAGATAGACTCCCTGGAGTGTACCTTGGCGACCCCGGGTGGTGTGCCTGTCCCTTAGTGGGTGACCTCATGTTTCTAAGGACATCAAGACTCCACGGCTGGGCTCTCCCCTCCTCAAAGTATTCAACTTAACTGTTCCTCCCTAAGCTGTCCTGGCTAGGCAGCCCAGTGACCTACGGGCCATGAGTCTCTGCATCTTCTCAGCCAAAGCACAGCTTACTGGGAGCCTGAGGTTCCTGCCCAAACATCAACATTCACCAAGAAAAGCATGCATGCAGTCACGGAAGCAGTGTTGGAAGGGACCTCAGGCTCTCTGCCTCAACCCCTACTCTCACTTTCCAGAGAAAGAAACCGAGGCCTAGGGAGGAGAAGGGACTTGCCCAAGTTCATCAGAGGGCTTCTAGTCACACACAGCACCTAGGACTGATGACAAATACCACCTACCTATCAAGCATGCTTCTTGCCAGAGTGTGACTGAGTGCCTGTGTTTCCAGACTCCTTAATCCCTGCCAGGGGCAGTGTGACTTGGGTGACCTGCTTTCAAAAGCTCGGCCCTGATCTCAGTCAATTTCGGCAAGGAAGTCATCGCGATCATGGCTGACCTTGGCAGCACTTCAAGGTCCCAAACGCGCTCTCTGTGCGTTATCTTGTGTGAGCCTCGACCACCCATTGGGGGTATCGTGGCCATCACGTTCCTCATTGTATGTGAACCTGAGGCCTGGGCTGTGCATGGCTTGTTCAGTTGCAGCTGGTAAGGCTCAAGAGCCAAGGTTACAGCCCGGGTCTTCTGGACTCCAGGGCAGTATTCTCTTCACTGTTCCACACAGTCCCACTGGAGAAGCTGAAGGGGCCACACAGGACCGCAGTGTTAGGAGTCACCCTTGCCAAAAAATGCTATCATCTGGTACTCATCCTTCCAGTGAAGAGGCTGAACTCGGCTAAGCTGGATTAACAGTAGGAAAAAAAAAAGTACACGTTCAGGGTGGCAGGCTCGCCATGAGATGACTAGAGGCATTACGGTAGTGTCCACTGTTGGATGCGGAGGTAGGAAGACCTAAGATAAATCCCACCTCTGATATGTACCAGCTGTGTGACCCTGGGCAAGTTGCTTAATCTGACCTTAAGTCTTCTCTTAAGGTTGGGCAGCTGTCCAACGGCTGATCTGATTAAACCTTTTATCATCTAAAATGAAGGGACTGGCCTCTAAGGTCCAAAAAGCGTCCCCCTCTGCATGCCAGGTTATGCCTGGTAGGCGGCCCAGGAGCCGAGACTCTGTTGTCCGGCAGGTGACTTATCCCTGTGCAGTCTCTGCAGCCTGATGAGAAGAGTTGGGGTCCGGCTGAGCCCTGGACACTATGACCTCTATGGATGGAGGGAGCTCTCCAATGAGTCACAGATCGATGAGGCTATACATGGGGGAATTACATGAGGAAGAGTAAGAGGGCTTATGAAATCCTTACACGTACCAGGCAAGGACAGAGGGTCATACTGTCATAGACTTCCAGGGGAAAGTGACCTTAGAGGCTGAGTCCAATGCCCTTATTTTATAGAAGAGGAAACTGAAACACAGCTGTTCTGGGCGGTATTTGAGCCTGGGTCTTCTTAACTCCAAGGCCAGTGTTCAAAACTCCAGTGCATCTCAGAATCATTGGGATTTTCATCCAGAATCATACACTGACACTTCCTATTTATTTCAGTGATGGGAAATCTTTTCAGGGATAATTGCCCAATTTGATGATAGGGAAATCTTAGGGGAATTGGAAACCTTCACGGACCATCAGCTCTGAAAGACTAGAATCCTAACATGCTCTGAAGCATTTCCATTGAACATCTGCTGTGGGGGGAATCATGGTACATGGCTGGCTCCTGAACCAGAGGACTGGGTTCAAATCATTCCTCTCATGCTTATTACTATGTCCCCCTGGGAGCCTCAGTTCCCTGTCCATCAAGTGAGGAGGCTGAATGAGCTGGCCACACTCCCAGCTCCAGATCTCTGATCCAAAGCCGTATGGCCTTCTTCTGGTGGGAGTCCTGCTGTGCCTATCAATTCCTGAGATTGACTCACTGGGTATAGAGAAACATCGCAAAGGTGGGCAGGAATCTGTTGTTATCCCAATAGTTCAAAGGGTAGGGTAGTTTCTCAAGGCACACAGTGCTCCCCAAACCTCTGAACCATTGCTCTGTGTAGCCAGGTGTTGACTCACCCTGCTGTCTGGTCTGTCTGGGCAGGACAAGCCTATTCGAGGACCCTGCAGCAAGCAGCCATCCCCTTACTTCCCAAGAGGTTTTGTGAAGAGCGCTACCAGAGTCGGTTCACAGGGAGGATGCTATGTGCTGGAAGTCTGCAGGAGCAGAACCATGTGGACAGCTGCCAGGGAGACAGCGGAGGCCCCCTGATGTGCCAACGGTCCGGAGAAAGCTGGGCTGTGTATGGAGTCACTTCCTGGGGTTACGGCTGTGGCGTGAGGGACTCCCCAGGTGTTTATACCAAAGTTTCAGCTTTTATACCCTGGATAAAAAGTGTCACCAAACTGTGAAGAGTTCAGTATGGGAGCCTCAGGAGAAAAGGACACTGGGATCCAGTGGCACTTGAACTGAACTGCTAGTCCACAGTTTAAACCAGTGGCCAACCCACGCATCCTATTCAGGTTGGTGTTGTGACTTTCATCTTTAAGAAACTGAATGTAAGTTGAATACTTGTTACTTTTGTTTCAGGATTCCTGTGCACAAAGAAATTACTTACCATCAAATTGAGGCAAATTTTGCAAAAGCCGCAGAAGGGGTTGGGGTGTTGGTGATTCCAGGAAAGCCTTCATTTCAGCACTGACTGCAGAAACTGGCGTGGGTTTTCTATCTGATTTGTCTCACCTTGGTAGAGTGAATTCCCTGTTTTGCTATTTGCCAATCTGGGCCTTATTTATAATCTCATCTTTTTCCATAGCATTTTCCTCAAGATGAAAAAGATATCAGGGTTCAGGCCTTATTTCTGTATAACCTCAAACATTTATTCAGATTTTGGAATGACTTTTTATATTTATCAATCACCCAGTCTTAGTGTTGATGTGACTTTGATTCAAAGTACATAAAGTATTCTGATTCAATGGGGAAAACAATCTGCCCTTCACTTATTATTCCCAAGTGTGGCATGTCAGAGAAAACATCTATCCCTGAAGACAGGAAGAGGCATGTTCGAGCCTAGCTTCTGACACATCCTGGCTATCAGACCCTGGGCTTTCCCCTGTCAGTGCGCTACGCTGCCAACCTGCATTGGTACAAGGCATTTCCTAACCTGCAAACTCCTTAAACCAATGAAATCAAAGACCACCATCCCTAATATCCTGTAAGTTAGTATGTGGCTACAAATCTGAAGGCCATTCTGCATCTTCCCAGTAACCTACAGACAAGGGGAAAGAGATACAGAGCAGATGTGTAAGCTTACATTCACAACCTGCATGTGAGGGAGGGGGATCTCGGCCTCGAGACCCGCTAGTCAACCCTGCTCCACATGCCTGCCTCAGGATCCTTGCAAACATGTGTCCGCTCAACCAGTTGTCAAGATTCATGGCAACTGCTCAGGGGAAATACATTTGAACTGCCTGCCCCCCCAAGCCCCAGAACGCTGAAGGGAGCTGTTCAAATCATAATGGGAGCCACGGTACAATTCCTCATCCTTGTATCTTGTATTTATTTGGTTTTGGCTCTTACAGTACCTCACTGCGTAACAGAATTTTTCCTTAGGGGGAACATTCCTTGCAGGGACTGTCCAGTGAAATCTGATGGTCAAAGGGTTGTGATTAAGGGACCTCAAAAGAGGATAGTGATGTTGGTGGCATCATTCTCTCTAAAAGACTGCATATTAAATTCTGTATCAGAAATACTTGGGGCCAGCACGTTTCAGCATGTACAAAGGGAATTCGCTCTATTTTGACTAAAAGTTTCCCTGAGGTACACCATGGAAAGCTCCCCATCTACCCACGTTTAAGTAGGTTGCAAAGAAGCTGAAGAAATAATTGCATTTGGAGTCAGAGGACCTGTGTTCTAATTCAGGTTCTGTCAGGTTCACTCCTTATGGCAAATAATTTCAAGTTTCTCCTCTATAAAACTGAGGATGTGGGGGAAGGGAGAGAAGGGACAACAGACTTGGACAAGGGACTTCTGTAAGGTCCCTTCTGGTTCTAAATCCGATCTTTTGATTAACAGTGAAAATGTTTCATTTTTAAAACAACTTTTTACTTATAAAATCATTACAAGTTTCAGAAGTATTTAAGTGAAAATGTATGTCCCTTTACACTATTTTTCATCAGAAAAAAAGTAACAATTGGATTGATACAGTACTTATTAAGCAGACACTACGTACAGAGTGCCCTGCTGAATGTCGTGGAAGCTACAAAATGTATATGGCAGCCTTCCCATGGAGCTTATAGTCTAACAAAGAAACTGATTGAGAATCTCTCAACCTGAAATCCAGAAGAGCCCAGGGAGAATCTCACCTACCAGCTGGGTCAGTAACTTCAGGGACCAGCTGAAAAAGGAAAGATTACTCAAAGCTAAGTAGGGGAGCCACTAACTAGAAAGTGACTCTTCAAACATGGGTTTGGTTTTTGGTAGCCCTTGTACTAAAAGGTTCAGCACCGTAGCAGCAATGACAGCCGACAGGCAGCATACTGCAATAGACAGAGACCAGTCCGAGTTTCTACTAAGGTTATCCACATGAAGGCACTTCCTAGGGCCCTCCCTGGAAACTTGGGCACTCTTGTTTGCATCCTACACCATTTCTCCCAAGCTCCTTTGGAGTCTCACCAAGCCAGGACTACTCAGGGTCTGTGCTCATTAAGCTTTTCCACTTGGTAACATTCTGACTTATCTGGTTCTTTTTATCAACATAGAAACAACACATGGTGTTGACAAATGCACAAACTCCTCCTTGTTGCGCCCGTTTCACGTCTAATGCCATCCGACTCTGAACCACCACCTGAGACAGGGGGTCTACCTCTAGCCGCAGGTTGGAAATGGCATCGAGGGTGGCACTGAAACCTTCTTCCACAGCTGCGGACATATTCACTATTGCCTTCTCAATTTCCAAAATCCCAAGCCACGGAAACAAGGCTCGAGCAAAAGCATGGAATCCTGAGGGTTTCTCAGCCAAAAGATTAGTAGTCCGCTTATGAAACCGATTAATGAAGCTCCCGGGGTTGGGGACAGATGTAGAGGTCAAGGTCTTGTGTATCTGTAGATCAGGGACTAGATAAGCTATGGTGCATGTTCCTCCCCACCCTGGAGGTAATGCCTTATAAGCATAATTACCACAAATGAAATAAAGCCCTGGCACTCTCGTGAGGGATAGAGTAAGCCTGTTACCAGAATATTGGGCCCAGGTGGAATTTGGTGACCACCGTTCTTTCCCCTGTATCATCAGAGTACCTGTTTCAAAGTACCAAGGGCATCGCTTGTCAAAGTTTTTCCACAAACGGGTCAAATGGTGCCAAGGGGTGTCATTATAGGCACAAAGTATAGACTCAAACATCTGGTACAAAAGTGTAAAGTTGACAAAAGATCCTTCCCCAGGGCAGCTGGACATATTGAAGCTCGTGTGGACAACCTCTCCCCCTTCAGCAAGTACATATAAAGTGTCATTATGACAGTTCTTTGTTTCACTTTCCCAGTCGGCAGAGGTATAATTGAGGGGGAGGATAGTGAAGTTGGAATAGCTTTCTTTTCCCCAAAATGTCATCAGGGAGGTCTTCCCGCATTTTAGGTTTCCTCCGCTATTGGATCCAGGGTCCACTTCCCACGTGCCATCATCAGTATCAAACCACAGGGTCTGGGCACATCTTTCCTCCGGAACATCGCCTAAGTATACGGTTCCATTGTCGTTTTGGATACACAATGGATACTGACCTCGGTGTTGTATTCGATATTGTGGATGTCCTGCAACTTGGTAGTTGTAAAAGGAGCGGCTTACATGTACTTTGTATTTCAGTCCTTTCCCATATTCAGGGGAGAGGGGCCGGCCTGTGTATTTCCACAGATACTGGTATTTAGAGTAGGAGGAAGAATAATACACGCCGTATATGGATTCGTTGACCCAGTGGGAGAGTGGAGCTGGAATGGGGATCAGGGAAACCTCACTTTCCATATTACCCACTTTATAACAGACCCAGCAATCTGTTAAGTTTGCAGCAGTAACGGCCCTTTGTATTGATGTGATAAAGGGATGCCGTGGAAGGGCATGACCTGCCAGGCCAAGTCGTAGGAGCACCGTGATGACCATGACACGTATGTTCATCATCTCTTGCTTCATTATGGGCATAGATGAGATTTACATTAGCCTGGAGTTTAGCCACAGGACCAGGGTAAATGCTGATAGCATTAACAGTTAAGGAAAGAAAGGGTAGGATTCCACATAATCTACCTAAAGTGACCCAATTCCTACTGACAATACATCCGGAAAAGGAGAGCCTTGGGCTTGGCTCTCAAGTATCTACACGACCTTTCCTCTGGCTTTGATTTGTAGCATGACTTGTCAGAACAATTCAATAGGGGCCTTTCCCACCAGAGTTCTACAGAGCACTTCCAAAGGCGAATTTTGATCAGGACTTGGTCTCTGGGTCAGACACTGGGAAAGGGTTGTGTTTTAGGCATCATCCAGGCATCCTGGGCTTCTCTGCACAAACAAGAAAGAATTCCGGTTAGAGGACAGAATACAGTCTGTGGCTCCCTCAATTCATTCCCTGACGGTAGGCCAGGTGGCATGGATCACAAGGTAACAAAGTATGTTTTCTACCTTGGGTGTTCCACAACTTCAAGAAAGCCAAGCGTACAACTACAAGCCATTTCAGTATCATTACAGAGTTTTCACAATACTCATTTAATGTCCAAGTTCTCTCAGTCTACATGTCCAGAGAATTAGGGATGGTAGGGAGTGTGAATTAAGAGAATACAAGGGCTTTAGCCATCTTGTGACCAAGACTGGAGGTGAAGTAGGTCCCTTCGTTGGATCCCAATTTGGGAAATAAATTGGAGGCCCATTTCTTTGCTACTGTGAAGAGAATCAGCTCAGGGGCAGCTAGGTGGCAAGTGGATAGAGCATCATTCCTAGAGTCAGGAGGACCCGAGTTCAAATCCAACCTCAGATATTTGACAATGACTAGCTGTGTGAGCCTGGGCAAGTCATTTAAACCCCATTGCCTCACTAAGAAACTCAGCTCTAGCAAGCTAACATTCTACCATCCACTAAACATAAAAACATTAACCAATAGGCAATGAAACTGATCTGCAGTGCTCTAAAGGGTATACTTGGTCAGGGAGGGATGCTTTCATCAATCCCTTCTCCTGGTCTGCAGTGGAACTCTTGTTAGCTTGCCCACTGTTTTGTGATGGAAACAAAATTTATGACTATTAGACCAAATCTTTTATATTATACTCATCCTTCTGCCTTTGCACACATGGCTCATTAGATGGCACACAAATGCACTTCAGCAGAGAAGGGGGCACTGATTGGCAGGAAGCTTGTTTGGACTATGAAGCTAGATGGGAGGGCTCAACAACCCCTGGGTTTCCATTTCTCATGTTTCAGATAAGAGGTGGGATGGTGAGGCAGAGATATGGTCCCTCATAGATAAAGGGATATAGCAATGAGGATAAAAGACAGAGGGATGCTAATGTCCGATGGCAGCCATGTCTGCCCCCAAATTTCCTACTCCATTGTGCTGGTGTGGGTGGGACAGCGTTCAAGGTCGTGGTGCATAGATGGATGGCCTCAGCTTGGGGTACTAAGTGGCCATGGGATGACCAGGTGATGGCAAGACTAAGGAACCCAGTTCTTCCAGATCTTGCCCAATGTGGAAGTAGCATGCTGCAAATGTCCTTTTACAATCTGTGTAAATGTTAACAGAAACATCAGACACAAGGTGGCAGGCATGGATTAGGGAAATAGGTTCTGCCACCTTGGCTAGGTCATGGTCAGAAGTTAAGTAGGATGTAATAAATGTAGGACGCAGCTGGGGCAGCAGGGGTACTGCACTTGCAGGCGGATCACACAAGTGGATTTAATCTGAATTGGCAACAAGGATGACTACAAGCTCATTGCATGGCTTTCTAGAGGTAGATTACCTAGAAACAATGATAGCAGGTCTGTACTGAAGCAGGAAGAGAATTATGGAGTTAAGTGCCTGCTCATAGATGGTCTATTTCCAGGTAGGCGTTGAGTATGATGGACCAGAGCAAATAGCACAGGGAATAGAAATTAGAAAGGTGCCTGAATATGAGGGGCTTTTTGCACTGAGGGCAGGTGCAGCCAAGGAACGCAACAGTGGGAATCCTTGGGCTATGGTGTTGGGTGGTTGTGAAATGTAGCACTGAGCTATGTACTGGGACCAAAAGGTCTGCACAGAAAGGCTACAGCCATCCTAGCTTCTTTGTGGCATTAGTGTGATGGGGTTTGTTGAAATCTTTCTCGTGTACCCTGACCCTCACGATGGGACACCAGCTCTGGCAGAGTGGGAAGCAAGAGGTGCTTCCTAATTCCTGAGTCGGCAATCTGTAGCATTCACATTCGCTGGATGACCTTGAAATGGGACTCCAAGCTACAGGCCTGAAGGGAAATTTCCTAATTAACCAAGTGAGTGTCAGCCTATTGCACAAACTAGGGCTTGGATGTGAGGCCTTAAAATCCCTCTTGGCAGAGGCAGCTAGGTGGCACAGTGGATAGAGCACCAGGAGGACCCGAGTTCAAATCCAACCTCAGACCCAAACACTTGACACTTACTAGCTATGTGACCTTGGGCAAGTCACTTAACCCCAACTGCCTAAGCAAAAAAACAAAAACAAAAAACAAACCCTCTTGGCCAGTGATGTCAGCAGCTACAATCAGAAACCCTACATATAGCCTATTAAAGTACTTAACAGGTATCTCCTTGAAGAAATAAGGGTTTCATTTGGGAATGACAATTCTAAGTTCCCTTAAGTTTGATTATGGAGGAAAAGGAAGTCAAGGGCTAAGTAGGTGGTACAGTAATAGTGTTCTGGACCCAAAGTCAGTTCAAATTCTGCCTCACTAGATTGTGACCGGGGGGGGGGGGGGGGGGGGAATCACTTTGCCCCAAGTTTCCTTAATGTCTAGAAATGATAATGGAAGCATTTCCCATTTGCTCATCCTAGGAAACAGGATTTGAAGGTAAAAAACCCAACCTTGGATTAAGATGCACACAAAGGGGTTGAATTCCAGGCCTTCTCAGATTTTAAGGGAAAGGTTAGCACCAACTTGCAGAGATTTTGGTCTGTAACTTGCACCACAAATCCCTTCCCATTAAGTTCACATGTGTAGACAGGGACATTCATCAGAGGGGCCCAACAGACCAAGACAAAGGCCCACCAATCCAGCGGCACATGCTTCCCTGGAATAGGCCAAGGAACCCTCATCAAGTTCCAGTTGGATGGTAGAGTGGGTGGGGTCCTTTTAAGAGTGAAACTCAAAAGGTTTATACAAGTTCAGGGTTCACTCCTAATTGTTTAATGGGGCATTACTTTATCTCTAAGGCACTGCCTGTCTTATTTCCTTTGATCCTCACACCGTGAGAGGTAGGTGCCATTATCCCCATTTTACAGATGAACAGTGAGGCAAGTAGGTCAGCCCAGGACTACATAGCTAGGTGTCTGAGGCTGGATTCAAATCCTGGTGTCTTCCTGGCTCCAGACCCAGGGCTCTATCCATTGTACCTTCCAATGGCCTTCTTTGTTCTCAGCTTCTTGTGGTACCGTCTCAGAAGATGTAGTTTGTCAACTGTTTGGGTCATGTGTGACCCTTATCCCAAGGACAAGTTTCAAGATGTTCAACCAGGGCATCTATAAGCCAGTTGTCCTGACTTTCACCTCGCCACTGCACTTCAATGACTGAGTGAGGCTCACAACTTTGCACAGATCTGCCTCACACAAGTCCAGACATTACTCTTCTGATGTCACTGGTGGTCTTCAAAAACTCACAAGCATATGACTCTTTATGTTCTTTGGTGTCTGGGTTTAGTGAAGTTGACTGTTATTTCATGGCACCTATCTTCCCTCAGTCAGGGCAGGAGGAATCACTACCCTCTGGGTACTTATGTTCTCACTATCTGATGGCAAGACAAGCCACAAAAACCAATCTAAAGCCTATTTCAGATTAGGGTCTACTATTGACCAAACCAGTTTCATTTTTTTATTATTAGTCACAGTCTGAGAAAATATACAGCAGTGTTCCAGAAACAAACACAGTAGGTTAAATAGCCTATTTACTGGATACCCCAATTTTCTTAGACAGGGGGGTAAATCTTCTCCATTTGGGATAAAGACAAATGTTTTGACAAATTCATCTTCATGTACATTGTCTTGAATCCCTTTTATCTTTCAGATCAGGTCTCACTCATATTTGTGTCTAGGCTTTAGAAAGGTACAGAAAAGGCATAAGAAAGGGTTGGAGTAGGGGCGGAAGGGGAGCAGAGCAAACTCAGTTCCAAAAGTCCTACTTAGGGAGAAGTACATGAGGATAGGTCAGAAGGGAAAAAGAAAGGAGGTAAAGGTTTTTAAGGTGGTGAGAACAATTTGGGATAGATGTTTCTGAGACAAGAATTTTTTTCTATTACACTAAAAATTTATTTCTGATTTGTTAGGAAATCCTTCTGCAATGCTTTCCTGTCTTCTCCCTCAATAATTAATTTATCTTGGGTGGAGCCTCCTAAAAAGCCCCATAAATAGATCATTAAAGTCATGCTCTCCCTGAGTTGCACATCTGAAATCATCCTTGGTATCCATACACATAAGAGTCTGGCAGGGAGTTACACTGGCTAACTAGAAATCTTAATCATTTATAGCAATGGAGTCCCTAAGGGTGGGCTTACAGTGCTAAGCACTGCCCCCCAGACCTCTATCTGAAGGGGTCACAAAATGATTTCTGCAGAATCTATCCTGTCTTGCCAGGTACTTGGGATCATTTTCTCTCAACACTCACTGGCAAACATGCAAACACAACATGGAGTTAATGAAGAAGGGGGACTGGGGTCTCAGAAAGGCTTCTTGAAGGGGGGATTAGAGCTAAGTCTTGAAGGAAGGCAGGTATCCAAGAGGTAGATGTGTGGAGGAAAAATATCCCAGAATGGTTTGTATGCACACGTGCTTGTCTGGGAAAGATTTGTGCAAATGTAAAAGCAACTGTGTTGAGAACAAGAAATTTGCCAATCTAAATGAATAAGAATACTAGAGGGCAGTAAAATAACTGGAAAAGGCCTGGATGTGAAGGAGTTTAGAGTTGACAGCGAGCCACTGGAGTTTGAGTAGGGGAGAGGGCAGGATGTGATGGGGACCTAGCACGGTAGTTGTGAGCTAAGACACAAACACACTGGATATCTCTGTGGGGTCAGTGCCAGAATCAGGGAAGACATCTGTCTGAGGCCATGAGCCTATGTGATCACTGAAGACTATACCTTCAACAATAAGGAAACCAGAAGATGGGAACAATTACATCTGGGGGATGAAGATGATGGATTCTGTTCTGTACATTCTAACTTTGAGATCAAAGATTGGGGCCGAACAAATAGACGTTGAGAATCATCTGTGCCAAGATAACTGAACTCCATGGGACATGATGAAATCCCCAAGTGAGATAATAAAGCAAAAAGAGAAGGGGGCAAGGGGAAGATAGCAGAAAGAGGAAATACAGGGCTCTCCAAAATTCTCCCACAAACAAGGTACAAGTTAAAATGAGCCAAGCAGGGGAAGACTGATGGCCCTGTACACTGTTGAGGGAAGCCAGGCCCAATTATGATGACTAGAACTGGTCCCTATGGCTGTGGGAGGAGCAAGCACAGGTGAGCACATGCCTAGTGGGTGTGGTAGAAGAGGTGGGCAAGGACCTTGCAGAAGAGCAGAATCCCTGGTTTCAGTTCCAGGGTAGAGGAATGAGCTCATGTTTGCAGCTACAGGAGGGCCTAAAGGAAGCCAAGAGCATTTGGCGATAGCATGGCTGGGGGCCCTGGTTATAGATGGGGGTCAGAGGAATGCCCAAGGTTGGGCCCCTAGACAGAACTCAGAAAAAAACTGTACAAAGGTACCCCCCCCACCTCACACACACCTTGGTACTAGGAACCTGACTGCCACTAAAAAAGAAAGCAAATGAGAAAGAACTTAACCACAGATAGTTACTATGGGGATAGAGAAGATCTGGGTTCACACTCCAAAGACAGTAAAGTTAAAAAGCCACTCCTACTTCAAAGAAAAATGTCAAGTGGTCACAAGACAAAAAGAGTTCTTGGAAGAACTTAAAATGGCTTTAAAAATAAGAGGCTGAGGAAAAAGTAGGGGAAAAAAAGCAATCCAAGAAAATGAAGGTAATTACAAAAAGAAAGTCAACCAATTAGAGTTCCAAAAATTTAAGAAAAATCTACCAATTACCACTTGAAACAGATACCATGATGAAAAGTCACAGGAATACTATAGCCAAGTTTTAAAGTTCTCAGGTCGAGAAATTACAAGCAATGAGAAAAACAATTTAAATATGATGGAGCTAAACACAGGCAAGATAATGAAAGATCTAGCAGCTTCTACATTAAAAGACCAAAAGGCATGCAACATTTTATTTCAAAGAGTAAAGGGTTATAACCAAGAATACTTAAATAACTTACCCAGCAAAGCTGAGCATAATCCTGAATAGGGGAAAAAAAGACATTCTGTGGGGGAAAAAAAAAAAGCCCAGAACTCCAATTACTTGAGTAGTTCGAAAGAGGATACATAGAAGGCTTGGGTTTGAGTTGAATATGATGGGATGATTTTAAAAAATAAAACTAAACTGGGTAGGGAGAACAATAGAATAATTATCTCATTTAAAGGGGAACTGCTATAGAGGAAGGTGGAGGGCTAGTAGCTCTGAACTTTATTCTCATCAGAAGGTGGTTAAAAAGGGAACATATACAAAGGTAGAAGTCTTCTAAATTTATAAGGAAATAGGAGGGCAAGGGGACAGTACAAGAGACGGACTTTTAGAAGGGTGTATAGATCAAGAAGTAGGAGGGTGGGGGGGGGATAAAGCAGACTTAGAGGAGTGGGCAGATCAAGGCCTAGGAGGAGCTTAAAGAGAGTATTAAGTGAGAGATTCTTTAAAGAGTGCATATTAGGGAGGGAGGTAGTGGTTGGAAATAAATTGGACATGTGTGGAGGGTAGAGAGGACGAGAAGGATAACAGTGAGGAAAAACAAAATGGAGGGAAATATACAACTAGTAATAACTTTGAATGTGAATGGGATGACCTCACCCATAAAAACTAGACTGGCTAGCAGAATGGATTAAATATCAGAATCTGACAATATGTTTACAAGAAACACATTAAATGAAATACACAGAGTTAAAAAAGGGCTACATAGAATTTATTATGCTTCAGTGGATATAAAAAAATAGCAGGGCTAGCAATTATGATCTCAAAGTTAAAGCTAAAATAGATTTAATTAAAATGAACAAGGAAACTACATTATGATAAAAGTACCACAGACAATGAAGCAATATCAATACTAACCTATATGCGCCAAATGCTATACCATCTAAATTTTTAAAGAAGTTAAATTATAGGTAGAAACAGATAACAGTATTATAAGTGGCGGATTTTACCCCTCCCCCTTTCAGAATTCATTGATCCAAACAAAAAAACAATTAAGAAGGCAGGGAGGTGAATAGATTCTCAGACAAGCTAGACAAGCTAGACAGCTGGAGAGAACTGAATGGGAAATAGAAAGGAATACAGCTTTTCCTCAGTAGTACATGGTACCTTTACAAAAACTGACCATATACTAGGACATAAAAAGTATAGCTAAATACCAGAAAAATTAAATGCATCTTTATCAGATCACAACAAAATAAAAAATTATATTCAATAAGAGACCATAGAAATAGATTGGAAACTAAACAACCTAATCTCAGAACAAATCATAGAATCAAAAATTTCATTAAAGAGAATGACAATAAAACAAGATATCAAAACCTATGGGATGCAGCAAAAGCAGTAATCAGAGGAAAACTGCTATCTCTAGATACTTATATCAATAAAATTGAACAGACCATTAATTCAATGGTATATGCAATTTAAAAAGAAAACTGGAAAAGCAAATTAAAAATTCCCTATTAAACACCAAATTGGAAATCTTAAAAACACAAAATATTTTCCCTTAGGTAGAAGCATCTACCTAAAGCCATCAGCAAGCATCATTTGTAATGGGGAAGCATTCCCACTAAGACCAGGCATGAAATAAAGATGCCCACTGTCACCAATATTGCTCAATACTGTACTGGAAATCCTAGCAATGGCAAAAGAAATTAAAGCTATCAGAATGGGCAATGAAGTAGTAAAAGCACACCTTTTTGCAGTGACATGATATACTTAGAAAATCCCAATTCAACAAAGGGGAGACTAATTTTAGCAAAGCAGAATACAAAATCATCAGCATTTTTATATATCACCAACAAAACCCTGCAAAAAGATACCCCGTTTAAAACAACTGTGGACAATATAAAATACGCGGGAGCATACCCACCACAACAAACCCAGGATTACATCAACGTTATAAAACATTTTACACAAATAAAGTCAGATTTAAATAATTGGAGAAATGTTATTTATTCAATGCCATTGTCAATTAAATTACCAAAAATTTATTTTACCGAGTTTGAAAAGAACTCCAAAAGAACTTCTTTTGGAAGAAAAGGCCAAGAATATGAAAAGAACTAATAAAAAATAATAAAGGAAGGTTTAGTAGTGCCAGATCTTAATCTACATTACTTATCAGATTTATGGACAGAACAATTTATGAATACAGGTAAGGGAACAAAATTAGATATAAAAGAGATAATTCTGATTACATTAAATTAAAAAGGTTTTGTACAAATAAAAACAATGTACCCAAGATCAAAAGTAGAAAATTGGGGAAAATGTTTAGACAGTTTCTCAGATAAAAGTCTCATGTCAAATATATAATACCAATCATTCACCAATTGATAAATGGTCTTTTTGATGAAGAAATCAAAACCAGTCTCGAAAAAAGGCTGATTAGAGAAATGCAAAGACAACTTTGAGCTACCATTTTATACCTATCAGATTGCCCAAAGAGTTATAAAACTGTGTATACCCTTTGGCCCAGTAATACAACTATTAGGTCTGTTTCCCAAGATGATTAGGGAGAAAAGGAAAAGAACTTAAATGTTCTAAAATATTTCTAGAAGCTCTTTTCTTTGTGGTGGCAAAGAAGTGGAAATCAAGGGGATGCCTAAACAAGTTGTGGCACATGATTGTGATGGGATATTACTGTGCTATAAGAAATGATGAGCTGGTTGATTCTGGAAAAACACGAAAAGACTTAAATGAAGAGTGAAATGAGCAGAACCAAGAGAATGCTGTACAGAGTTAACAGCATTATTGTTCTAAGAATAGTTTTGAAGGACTAGAGTCATTTGAGTATTATACTCAAAATCAACTATGAAAGATGCTATCCAGTAAAAAAAAAAAAAAAAAAAAAAAAGATAAGCATGCATGGTGCAGTTTTACACATATATACATAGTTGTGTCTAATGGTAGACTTCTCTAGAGTGGGGTACAGAGGGAAAAATAAAAAGTACACAGCAGAGAACAAAAGAAAGCCTAGAAGGAAGCAAAGAAAAACAGAATAGCTTTGAAAGTTATGTGTAGTACTTATTACATAGCTTCTCAAATAGAAATTTCACAATTTAAAATTGAATCCTTTTCTATGTAGTGCAGTATACATGGAAATGCTCTTGTCTAGGTTCAAAATTATAAAAAACTTAAAAATTAGGAAAGTAGCAGGGGAAGATAAGGGATGATGGTCAACGATAGTCTTGGGTGATGTGACCAGGATGAAAACCCGAAAGAGACCCGGGGAAAGAACCGAGAGCTGCCATAAAACCCCAGAGAGTATCCAAGGCCATCAAGTGGGTCAAATTCTGCAGAGCAAGGAGCATGACAATTGAGAAAATGTTAGATCTGGCTATTAAGATCACTGATCACTTTAGAGTGCAGTTTATTTGAATGAGACCAGAACCAGGTTGCAGAAATGTGAAGGGTTTGGAAGGGACTAAGAGGTAGGTGAGAAGGAGGTACCAAGTGTAGATGGCTTGAGACAGTTCTCAATTAGCTTAGCCATTAAAGTGGGAAGCCAGGCCTCAAAGTTGGCCAGGAAACAAAAGAAGGATTTTGTGCACAGCATTTTCAGAATGATTTAAGGGGATACGGAGCCTCCTCCCGAAGTCAAGAGGGGCTATGACATTTTTGCTTAGCAGTGGACCTCAGGGGATCCCTGCTCCTATTATCGTATGTGGTTTCAGAGTTAAAGTCATTCCAATTCCAACACCAAATTGTTGGGGCATTTCTCAATCTGGGATCCAGAGAGAACAGCACCCACCGGCTGAGTGTGAAGACTGAAAGTCAGTAACTTCAGAGGCTAGCTGACTGAAAAAATGGGAGATTACATTTATTCGAAGCTGGCTCCTAAGTTTACTCAGCTTTCAGATGATAACGGCCAAGGAGCAGCAGCGCACTGCAGCAGATAGAAAGGAAACCATCAGGGCACAGATGTGTCAAGGGCTGCCTGCGTGCAGATCTGGGGCACCTCGTTCTTACCCTCCACAACAAGGCACGCAGAACGGTAAGGCAGCTAAGATGTACCACGTTATTGAAAAGTTCTTGATAAACACAAAGATAAGGTCTTCTAGCCGGCGCTGCCAGAGTAACCAAAGCCAGGACCCTTCCTTCTTACCACTTCCAATCCCTCGAAGCCTGCAGGAAAAGATTAACACGACACTTCATATGAATAAACTCACGTCCTGGTCGATGCAAGCTTTGCAAAACTTTATTAGTTAGCGAGACTTCGGTGCTCTCTTTCTCTCTAATGTCAGAGCAAGAACCAGGAAAGACACTTACTTTGGGTCTGTACTCCCATCTCCCATCTCCCCTTGCGTCCGGGCACCTGGAAGCGTAGCACAGCGTTAGTCTGCCCGGCCCACCACGCGCCCCGCCCCCCTCGCCCACGTCGCGCGTGTCACTTGCACAAGTCAGAATCTGATACCAATTAGATGGTGACAGCTTTGCCAATAAGCAAGATCATGCTTTTCCATGGCTAGGAAGGGAGACTGCCACAGCCGGCAGGGCCCAAGGATTCATGGAGATTCGCGGTCCCGGGAGGCCCCCGCCTCCGCCTCCGCCTCGCGGGGTCCCCCCGGTGGGGGGCCGCCGTCACCGCCTCCCGCACCCCAAGGGAGGAACCCCGCAAACACAGGGGACTCGCCGCCTGTCCCCCGGCCACCCCAGACTCAGTTTCCCCTTCGGCAGGGTCTGGAGTCCCGGGCACCGCCACGTGGGGGTACTAACCGGGACCGGCTCGCGGCGCATGCGCCCCTGCCCGCCCGCCCCACGCGCGCGTGGAGATGGCGTGCACGGCCTCCTCGCTTTCTCGCGCGCTAGCGGATCACCCACAGGCCCCCCGCCGGCCCTGACGGACCACCCCCCCCACACCCAGCGCCCCCTCACCCAGGTGGGCCAGACGCGGTCAGTGCCGCGGCCTGCACAGCAGTAAAAGAGCCACCAGCTGCTCCCGCCATAGAAAGGCCGAACACGCCTCCGCGCACGCTTTTATAGCTACGGTGACGTCCTTCCGGCCCGGGGAGGGCGGGGCCTGTGCCGCGCCCATCTGCGGCCGCTTATCCTGCCAGGGACGCTTAAGGCCACGCCTTGGTGGGCGGAGCTTTGGAGACGCTCTGTGTGTGTGGAGGGTGGGCGGAAATTGAGGCCTGCGCGGGACGGGGGCGGGGCCTAGGCGTTTGTGGGACTTAGGGAGCGGCGTCGCTGCGGCTGCGCGGGAAAGGGATGTGGGCGTGGTTTGGAGTTATATCACGTGGGGAGGGGGCGGGAAGGCGTGGTTCAGGAAGCTGAATCCGTAGAAGGGCGTGGCTCGAAGCGGCGGGGCGGGGCTTGGCCGGGTGAGCTTTCTCCGCGAGTTCTCGGGGGCAAGCCGGGGTGGGGCTACGAATCGTTGCTCTCGTTCCGTGGCTGCGCGGGGAGGGGGAGACACGTGGCTTGAGGAAGCCGTTCTCCGCGTTGGCTTTTTTGTGACTGCGCTGAGACGACGAGAGGAGGCGGGGCGTAGCTGAGGGGGTCCGCCTCTGTGACGGCGCGGGGGCGTGGCTTGAGCGGTGTCTCTGCGGCTGCGCAGGGGGCGGGGCTAGCTTCTCCGTGCCCGCGGGGGGCGTGGCTCGGGAAGCGCCGTCTCTGCGGTTGCGCAGGGCTGTTCCGGGGAGCGTTCCGCTGTCTGGTCCTTCCCCTGCGCTCCGCAGCCTGGGGCTCGCGACGTGCTCGGGGCTGGGAGAGCCCGGAGATGGCTCCCCGCGGGTGAGCGTCGGGGCCGGGGCCGGGGCCGGGGGTGGGGAGCCCCGCTGACGTCTCCCTAAGCCCCGAGGTGGGTAGCGCCGACGTTGTTAATTACTCTGTTTTATTGGGGGCAGGGCGCGCCCCTTGCTCCGCCGGGACCCCGGAGACCCCCGGGAGCCTTCGGGGCGTCCTGCCGGCGCCTCCCGGGGGTGGGGGGGGACGGAGGAGCAGCTGTCTGAGCACTCGGGGGCTGAAGGAAGGTGCGCTTATTAAGCGCCACCTGTGTGCGTCCGCGATGCTGGTGCTAGCCGGCCAGACCGTTAGACCCCGTCTGCAAGGAGCCTGCTTACCTTGTGATGCAACCAGTGCAGGGCGGCCAGGGCTGGAGAGGGGGCTCGGGGCCGAGGAATGGCCGGCCGGTGGTGGAGGAGCCGGCCAAAGCCCGCTCACCGTCCGGGGCCCCAGCGTGAGCAGTGGCTGGGTCGGTGGTCCCCTCCCCCCCCCGCCAGGGGAGGGCAGAGCAATCCCGGGCGCTCTGGGAGGACAAGGGTGCTCCCCGAAGTCAGGCCAGGCTGTCTGGTCCCAAGGCTGGAGAAGAGGATGGGAAAGAGAAGGCAAAGCCCGCAGACCTTCGAAGACCTTTGCGTGAGAACGCAGAGACAAAAAGGAGGCTGACCCTCCCGCCAGCAGCTTGCTGCCTCCCCCAAGGGAGACACTTGCACCCCAATAAGAAAGTAAGAAATAGAGGAGCTCCCGGGGGCGCACTGATCGCTGGGGCTGCAGGAGGTAAGAAAGGGCTCCTTAGCCGAGGGGAGGGTGAGCCTTCTAGGCGTGAGGCACAGCCTATGCACAGGCTCAGGAGAAGCCCGGCCTGAGCAGCTGTAAGGTCACTAGTAGCCTTCTAAGGATGATGGTGACTGAGCTGAAATACAGACTCAGTAGTCTGACCTTTTGATTTGGCCTGTTTACAGGAAACCCCCAGAGCAAAGGCCGTGTGGTTTAGGTGAAGAATTCAGAGGAGGTCGTAGGCAGGAGGAACGAGGGAAGGACAGCAGGGCAGCTCCGTGCCCTCCCCTGTACACTGAAGCCAAGAGACGGGGGCGGCCCAGCAGCCCCCTCATATCGGGGCTAGAAGTGACGCCTCCACATTGCAGCAGCACATCAAAATCACGGTGTGGCTGAGACCGACACTGCCAGTGTGAGCCAGGGAAGAGGCAGAGAAGTTGTCCGGGAGTCTTAGGCTCAATGGGCTTCAGGCTTTGTCAGGAAGATGGAGCCCAGAATGGCCCAGCAAACGTCTGCTCTCAGGACTGGGTGCAGGGTTATTATGCTCCTTTTCACTGCAAGCTCTAGGTCCGGGCTTCAGAGGGGTTTGTGAGTCATGACCACTCCACCGTCAGGCAAGCTCAGGTTTGGTTTGGTTGGTTCATAGCATAGCAAAGGGTGGAATCCTGCTCAGGTGGGTCTGTTAGCTTCCTGCCAGCAGGTCACAGGTGCCGACACCCAGTCATTGGGGCACCAAGCTTATAGTCAGAGCCACAGGAGGGGCCAGTGTGGGAAGGTTCCGGAAGAGGAGCTGGGTCGCAGTGGAGGGGACCTGGGTAGAGAATGCATGGCCTGTGAGGAAGAGAAGGAGCAGCTCCAGACAAAATGAAGGCGAGGTCTAAGGGGAAAGACGAGAAGTTCTCCTTGGAACCTGCCGCGTGGGAGATGAGAACTTACATAACTCACTGAAGTTTGCAAAGCATTTGAGCTGTGTGTTCTTATTTGTGCCTGTCAAGCACCAGTGTGGGATGGGGAGCTCAGTCACCCTGGTTCAGAATCAGAAGCCTCTAGATCCAGAACTTGGACTTAAATCTTATTTCTCTCATCTGTTCTCCAGTTTCTCAGAACATCCTCACGTAGCTGATAAATGCTCATTGACCAGCTGACGTCCTCAAACTGTGGGCTTAAGGGTGGCCTGGGCTCTGCTTGGTTCAGCAGGGTGGCTTCTGCACTGGGTGGGCCCGGCTCTGGCTGGCATCCTGTTTAGTCAGGACATCACCCTCGGGATGTCGTCAGTCCTCTTGGAGAATGAAAGCATTGAAACAACGTGAGACTCATTTACCAGTTAACAAAATGGGGTTTCCTTTGTCATAAAATGCTGCCCCACTTAAATTGGGCAGACTGTGTCCTCCTGCATGTGGAATCCTGGCTAGTTAGCAGGGCCAGGTGTGGTCACTCACCCGACCTTGGGACATCCACCTCTGCCAGGCTGCCAAGGGTGAGGGGCTCTGGCTTCAGGGTAACCCTTTTATGCCCTTAGGGGACCAGGAAGCCGCGTTAGTGTGCTCAGAGGACGCTAGGCACAGCTTAAGCCTTCACTCCCTGGACCAATGTCATCACTTTTCAGGGAAAAACTCTCCTAACTTGTGATGGGGGGAAATCGTAGTAGACTTTGATTCTATTATGACCTATGAGGGTCCTTCCAACTCCCAGGTAATTGATCCTATGAATGATGCTATTCAGATTAACTTCTATAATTCAGAGCAAAGATTAAAGCATATAGATGTATGAAAATATAGATCTATCACTCTGTCTCTCTGTTTACACATAGGTAAATATGTAGATATTTATCTAGTCGTGGCCAGTGTGGGAATTTGTTTTGCTTAAGTATACGTATTTATAATGGATGTTAACTCCTATACTTCCATAGAAACATGATTCCAAGTTTTATGTATTGATTTGAAAAGGGCAGATGCAAGTAGTCTCATCTTGTATGATTCTCTCCTCCTGTGAATTCCCCAGGGTATCTTCAGAGCACAGCTGAGGCCTTCTGTGCCTTTTACTGTTGCCTAGCTAAGCTATTGCCTCTTATCCATGAACTTTGGTCCGTGACTGACCCCTTGCTAGGTGACTGGCTCCTGCTTCCTTTTTTGGCCACATGTGGCTTTTACTGTGTCTTTTGTTGCCGTTTCTTGTAGTCGGTCACCAGTGGAGACGTCTCATAGCCTCCCTACACTGAGCACATCTCTTTCCGCTGACTTTTGGGTTATTTGCAGTTTGGATTCTTCTGAGAGAATGAGATTTATTTGTGATTCACAGCCCTGAAGCATCACTGGGAATGTTAAGGTCTAAAGAGGGTCTGAGGCATTAGAGAGCAGGTTTAGACTGCTCAGAAGCACCATATAGTTTTCCCATGTGATCTAACCCAGTCTCTTTCGCTTGTTCATTTCTGGGCCTAACTCAGCTCACATTAAAAATCAAACAAACAAAACCTCAGAATTTAATTGGGATTAATGTAAAGTCCTGCAGTTAGTTTTTTTTTTTTTTAATCAATGGCACAAGACCAAGATGAGGGGACATGTCATTGGAAAAGACTGCAAGCTCAGTACGAGTCACCTGCCAAAACATATAATGTGATTAGCAATACTGAATCTCAAACAAGGGGGGTGGTAGTCCCACACATGCCAATGCTGCCTTACCAACTGCCTCATGGACGACCCTCTCTATCTTCCCTAACCTGCTGATCTTCCAGGCTTCTCTTTCCGGGAAGGCACTACCATCCCGCTCATCATAACAGTTGTTAACGTTGGGCTTGTCATGGACTCTTCCTCTCCCTCCCCCACCCCATGCCCAATCAGTGACTGAGTCTTGTTGATTCTGCCTCTGCAGTATCTCTCCTATCCTCCTCCTTTCCCAACCACCAAATCTGTCTGGGCATCAGAGCTCACCTATTGCTGGCAGTAGCCTCTGAATTGGTTTCCCTGTTTCCAGTCACCAATCCATGGCACACCACTGCCAGGATAATCTTCTAAAGCACGGCTCTGACCATTTCAATTTCCTGCCCAAGATTTTCCATTGGCTGCCAGTATTGTCTCTAGGATTAGATGCATACTTCTCACTTGGGCATTTAAAGTCCGTCATATTGTGGCTCCTTTCCAGATTAATTTCATATATCTTCCCCTAATAGACTTACACTCCAGCCTCCTTGACCTGTTCCCTATCTTGCCATTCCAGAGGGTAGGGTCAATCATGACTTCAGAAGACTGATGCCCCAGTGCCTCTCAGTTGAGGGTTAGAGGACAGTAGCTGCTGAATAAAGCATGTTTTGGAAACTGCTAATATGTTATTTATTCTGCTTGACTAGATTACCAGTAAGACATTTTAAAAGGAAAAAAAAACCCTACATCATTCCATCTTTCACCCCCATTCATGGAATGCCCTCCTTCCTTACCTCCTCTTCAAACCCCCAGCCACCTTCAGAACTCAGGGTCACCTTCTTAGGGGTGATGAGGACAACTCTCCTAGCTGTCCATGCTCTCTGCCTCAAATTGTGTTCTGTTAACTTACGTTTGAAATTGTCTTATGCCCCCGCAAACTACAGTGTCCTTCAGGGCAGGAACTATTTGCCATTTTGTTCTTGATTCTGTCCCTGGCGCCCAGCACATAATAAGCCTGTAATAAACACTGAGTTAGACTGATGTGACCTCCAGTCCTGGGGCCCACATTGACATGCTGAACTGCACATCAGGACAGCAAGAGGACTCTAAACCATGCCATACACAGATTGGTTCAAGGAAATGGGAGTTTAGCTTTGAAAAGAGGAGATTCCCAGGGATTTTTGAAGAGATGTCTCATGAAAGAAGGATTAGGTTTGAGCCATTCTCCCTGGGAGGGCAGAACAAATACCGGTGAAGGGATGTTACAAGGAGACAGATTTCAGCCAAGCCTGCAGAAATATGAAAACTTTCTAAAATGGCAGCTCTGAGGGAGTGAGGTCCCCCTTCCTGGAGGTCTTCAGAGGAGACTAGAGAGGACCACTTGTGGGGAGATCCAGCCTCTTGTTTTTGTGTACTTGGGCCCTCCCTGGGGGACAAGGAGGTTTCATTTTTGTATCCCCTCTGTAGTAAGCACTTGGTCATAATTTGGAGAATCACTGAAGTCACAGGACCTGAGTTCAAATTCTGACTCTAATGGTTATTACCAGTAGGTCACTGACCCTCCCTGGGCCCTAGTTTTTTCGTTTATAAAAATAGCAGATTAGACTAGATGTCTCTGAGGTCTCCTTCAGCTCTATTTGAGTTTCTGTAGCCCCTGGTCCTCATTCCAACATAAAGAAAACTGGCCTTGCAGCGAAGTCTGCATTCATTTAGGAGTGCGTGGGCCACGCCCTCCCTTCCCTGGAAGACCTGCCTTCAAGCCTGCCTCAGACGTACTGGCTGGATGTCTGCTCAGAGAAGATGCTGTCCCGAACCAATAGAGGGAGTGTCTTCATCTGGAGTTACCGATATTAATGATATCCTAGGCATAGTCGTTAGCCTGACATTGAAGTTCATTTACTCTAAGTCATGGGAAATTCAGGGATGCCCTGGCAGTCCTGGCACACTTTGGCCTGATGCTGGATTAAAGCTGCTTCTTGTACCGTTTGACTTTGAGCTCCCAGAGTCCTCCTTGCGTGTTGGAAGATACTGCTGGGGAGTATAACTTTCTCCCTTTGGAATTCCTTTTAGCTGCTGCCTTTTAAGTTAAGAAAACATTCACAGTGGGAACCTCAGAGATGGGGGAGCAGAACTTTGCAGAAGGGCTGTTCAGCTGGCACCAGGGAAGCTCTGCGGCAGGATAGCTGGCTGAGACCTTGCAGAGCTGGCTGGGGAAGACTTGTCTGCCATCTCCAGTTCTCCTATTCCAAGGGTTGTGAAGTGGAATTCGTAAACTCAGAGCCCAGGGCAGCATCAGCATCAGCTGGGAAGTCAGCCACCTTAGAAAGCATCCTTTGTAATGAGAGTAATGGGTAGGAGGTGGAAGGCAAGACAGAGTCCTGATAGGGGCTTTTTCCAGGCAAGCCTCACTAACAGAGGATGAAAGGGGATGCAGGGAGCCCAGCAGTATTTAGCAGTTTCTAGCTTACCCAGAACCTTTCCCCCTTTTACTTGCCCAAGGAGTCTTTAAATAGAAGTTGATGGTTATGGACTGAGAAGACTAATTGTTCTGTTTGAGGGCTACAGAAAGTAATCCCTTTACCTTGCCAGACTTTAGTTTCTATCTGTAAAAGGATCATATTGGCACTAGGTGGTCTCTAAACCCCGTTAGAGAGCTTCATTAAGCATTTTCCAAAACTAGTGAATGAGATTTGGGAAGGGGAAGGAAAGGGTGGTCACATGCCTTCCTAAAAGGCAAGCAGTGGAGGGGAGCCAGCATGGGGGACTGGCTGGCATGGTGGAGGGAGTGTGGCCACCTGAAGGTCACTCACTGCTCCTGGGTATTGTGACTCACTCTCAGTTATGTCCCATCTCCCCAGAATTTACTTGTCTCAGACGACTACATTTAAAAAAAAAAATGTGGCGGATGCTGACTTTGAGGTCAGTTCAACATTCCATGAGCAGTGATGCACCCTCAGCTTTTGAGGAGAAAATGGTGCCTCCTCTCATCCCTTATATGGGAGCATCTTATTTGTCATGGGATCGTAGGATTTAGAGCTTGAAGGGACCTTGAAGGCCATCTTGTCTGCCTGGAAACTTGGGATCCAGAGAGGGGAAGGACTAAGTGGTTTGTCATTTCCTTCTCCAGCTCATTTAACAGATGAAGAAACCGAGGCAAACAGCTAGTAAGTGTGTGAGGTCAGATTTGAACTCATGAAGAGGAGTCAGTCTGACCTCAGGCCTGCATTCTATGTACTTTGCCACCTAGCTGTCCTGTTCATCAGACTGCTTGAATCCAGATTAACTGCTTCGGACCGGCCCTCCCTCTGTATATATAAGACATTGCGACTGTTCAGCTGAAATCCGTTTAATCGTAGAGGCTGTATGAAGTGCCTGTCTGGTGTAGATGGAGGTCACTTGTTTGCTATCTTGTCTAGGTCCGTTTGGGCGGTGCCTGCCCCCGTAGGCAGGATTTGTGTATGATAGAATCTCTAACAAACCATCACCTTGAGTAGCCTCAACTCACACTATCTTGGAACTTGCCACATGACCAGCCTTAGGGCAGACTAGAAAGTTGGCAGTATTTGTTTTGTGGGGCTCAGGACTCCTGCCATTGCACTCCACTGGCCACTGATTGTGAGGTGCCCCTGGAAAGGGCACTGGCTCTGGGTGGGGATGGGGTTCAAATTTGCTATTTTAGTACCCCCCAAATGAGTCAGGGTAACTCAGGTTTGTTTCCAGTTCTTGGACGCTACAAAAAGACTGCTATAAATATTTTTGTACATATGGGTTGTCTTTTTTAATCTCTTTGGGGTGTAGTTCTATTAATGATATCACTGGTCAGAGGGTATGCACAGTAGAATGACTTGTGGCTTGGTTCCAGATTATTTTCCAAAATGACTGACCCAGTTCGTAGCTCCCCAAACAGCACAATAACGTGCCTGGCTTCCCACAGCCCCACCAAAAATTCCCACTTTCCTTTTTAAAAATCTCTGCCTCTCCGATTATTGTTTTAATTTTCATTTCTCTAATCATTAGCAGTAATTCAGAGCATTTTTTTCATCTCACCATTGATTGCGTGGATGTCTTCCTCTGAAAACTGCCTCTTCCTATTCTTTGATCTTTGCTGATCCCCTGCCTTTTTTAGGGGAAAGGTAGTATAAGGGGGAGGGACCTTTCAGTCTAACTGCCGAGGTTCCTCGGTGCCACTCCTAACACTGGATAGACAGACAAATGAAACAGTTCCTGCCTTCAAGGACATTGTGTTGGGTGACCTTATGTTCTGCTTTTGGTTAGATCAGTACGAGCTGTAGATTGAACTTCTCTGGCTGTTTTATGTTTGTGAAGCTTTGGTGTTTAGTCCTTGGAAGGGCACCAGTTTTTGCTGTCTGATTCAGTTTCAACATTGCCCAGCAGTCCTTTCCTCCTTTGTTATCCCATCCCCTTTTCTTAGAAGGGCAGTAGTAATAATACATTTAATATTATTTTGGAAAGGCAACATGTCACTGTGCGCTGGAGTCAGGAAGACCTAGGTTCACTAGCCATGGATGCTGGAAGTTCAGGATGCAGATCTTACCTTTTGACTCTTTATTAGCTATGTGCCTGTGGGCAAGTCATTTACAAGTATTAATACTATCCATACATGTGCATTGTATCACAGTTATTTGTATATATTTCCTCTCTGAGCCTGAGGCTACTTTCTGAGACTAAATTGTAGATCCATGGCCACCTGACTCAGTGGGTTCCTACGTTGCCCCAGCGCCCTTGATTTTTTAAAAATTTTCCTGATCGGAAGGTTGGCCACCAGATATTAAAACCTTCTTGGCCACAGTAACATCCAAAGGCTGCTTACTAAGCCATAGTGGAGTTTGGATTTGTATTGGGAGAGAGGATCCTAACAGGTCCTAGTCAGTGAGATACTTGGGATGGAGAAAGTAAGGACCATTTGGGCCATAATTCCTGAGACTGGGGATGGGGAACAAACCAAAAACGGCACTCTGTGTTTTAAAATAAGCCAAAGTGTGTTCCCAGAAAGGGGCCAGGGGACTTTATATTCTTTTTATATTTGTAATTGGAGGCCCCACCTGGAGAACTTTGAAGTGTGTTCAGCCCTGGTGGTCTGGAGGAGCAGTGGGGCCAGACATTCACCTGGGACAGCATTGGGCCTTCCAGGGAACTTCCAGTTCACCCTGACTCATTTAGGCCCGTCCGCACTCAACATCACCTCGAGCAGGTGAGAGGCTGCAGACCAGTCTGGTGTTGAACAGCGCTCACCCAAAGACATATTTTTCTTGAATCCAGCCTGGATTCTTGACCAGCTGTGTGGGCAGTCTGACCTGTCCAAGCCTTGGGGAACTCTTCCACTTAGACTTGTCTTCGTGGAGGAGGGAGGGGACCATGAGCCTTTGTCCCTTCCTGGTGAGCCCCATAGGATTGCTCTTGCCAAGCGTCCTCCACTGCCTGTTAATCATCTGCTCTTGGCTTTCCAGGATTACCTGGTACAAGCTGCTGGGGGAGTAGCCAGAGAAAAGACCACCCAGAGCCCCCTAGATGTGGAGTCAGCCCCACTCGGCACACCGAACCTTAGTCCTTCATGGAGACCAGCTCCCAGCCGGAATGGCCGTGGAGGAGGTCGGCTTCCCGATGGGCACCTGGCAGAAGGCTATGGCAGGACGTGGACTGCAGAGACAACAGCTGGTAGGAAGTCTCGGCCTCTATCTCTCCTCCTGGACAGTGCAGCATGGCGAGAATGCGGAGGAGGAAGCTTTGGGCATCCTGCCTGTGCATCACAGTGGCCTCCTTCCTCCTCATTTCATTCCAGGTACTGCAGATGAGGTGGATTATGGGGTCTTTGATCTCTAAGTGCTTTACCTAAGTCTTTTTTGTTTGTTTGTTTTTTGTTTTGGCTAGGCAGTGGGGTTAAGTGACTTGCCCAGGGTCACACAGCGAGTAAGTGTTATGTGTCTGAGGCCGGATTTGAACTCAGGGCCTCCTGAATCCAGGGCTGGTGCTCTATCCACTGCACCGCCTAGCTGCCCCAGCTTTACCTAAGTCTTCAAATGAGCCCCTGCCATCTCTTCCTTCCCACTTCTTCATATTTTTCATGTTTATGTGTCGTTGGGTTGCTTTTTTTCTCCAGAGATGTGATTTTGTCAGTGTAGGGAGCTCCTCTCCCAATGCAGGGGGCATCTTCTTGGGTGACCCGGGGCACCAGGTGGGTAAGTGATTTGCCCGAGGTCATAACAGACAATCTATGGTACAGATGGAACTTTAGCCCTGCTCTTCTCTGCCCTGATGCCAGCTCTTATCCACTGTACCAAGTGTCCTCCCCCTTGTGTCATTGTGTGTTAGAATAGTGTGTGTGTGTGTGTGTGTGTGTGTGTGTGGTCCTCCTGTTAGATGGAGGTGGGGGGACAAGGTACTGGGTCTTCTCTCAGCCCCTGGGGTACACGGTAGGTACTTAATGAATGTAATGTTACACTTCAGGAATCTGATGCGGGGAAAGGAGAGAGGATGAATCTTGTCATCTTCATTTGATAGAAGGAAATCCAGGCTTTTTGGGCACATCTGCTAGAAAATAAAGCCGATCAGACTGAGATCCTGAGTTCAGGACCAGGCTGGAGGCCGACAGCCACAAAAGCCCATCTCCCTTTCCCATTGGAGTCTTTCCCACCAAGTATGGCCGGCCTGCCTGCAGCCCTGGCTTCTGTTCCGGAAGATGGCAAGATGCCAGGAATGGGCTTGCCAGGGGCAAACATGGTGTTTGGAAAAGCAGTAAAAGAGCTAATTAATGTTAATTGTATGCTTGGTTAAGAGCAGATCCTGGGGGAATAGTGATGTCCGGTCTCTGGGGCTCCTAGGTGCATAGCCAATACAGCCACACAACCTGTCTAGAATTATTTAATATAAATTGTTAGAACTTAACCATGGAGCCAAAGATTTTTACCAGAATGGACGAGCCATGTGTGTCACGTTGGAAAAAGCGCTGGATTTGGAGCCAGAGAATTTCATCTCAAGTCTCACTTGCTATTGGTGAGACCGTGGATGAGACATGTCACCTCCCCAGGCCTCAGTTTCCTCGTATCTCAAATGAGGGGGATGGACTCAGTGACCCAAGGTCACTACTGCCCTCCAGCTGTGACCCCCCTTAATCTGGTGGTGGTCCCTCCTTCTCCATTTCCCACCCCCTGCTAAGTACTCCAAGCTTCTCTTAGTGATCACTAAAAAATTGACAGAGAAATAGCCCTGTCTGCCCTCCTCTTCGTCTTCATCCTACATTCTGAATCCTCTCTTGCTGTTAAATCCTCAGAAACCCTCATTGCTGGCTGAGTCAGTTCCTTGGCCTATATTTGGCAACATTCCAGCCTTAGCTCATACCATTCTCCTCCTAGCACCTTAATATGTGCCGGGGTGGGGAACCTGCGGCCTCGAGGCCACAATTGGCCTTCTAGGTCCTTGGGTGTGCATTTAGGGTTATTTTATTAAAGGGATATGTTCTGTGAAGTTTGGATTCAGTCAATCGAGGACCTTGGGGGACACATGTGACCTCCAGGCCACAGGTTCCCCAACCCTGGGTAAGCCCTTCTGTTAGATGCTGAGGAAAAGAAAGAAAGATAAGTAAGGCACCCGTTTTGGCCCTCAAGTAGTTTACAGTGAAATAGTGGAGATGATGTATATGCAAATAACTGTAATACAATGCACATATGTGGTACGATTCATTGTATGATTTAAAGATCTTTCCTTCCCTGTCCTCCAGTATGCTGTGGGTACAATGCATATAAAAAGGTTTACTGTTGCCATTACATTGTTATCTAACTCTTAAAATCTGTGCCGTGTGGGAGCAATGTCCTGATCCCAGGCCCCCATCCATGTCTGGCTGGTTCTCCTTAAAAAGTATTGAAACCATCCTGGAGATGTCCTTGCTTTGGGGACTGGCGGCCAGGGCTGTGAAGTCACACACGTGCTGGTTTTCAGACCGCAGCCACCTGGGCGCGCCCAGCAGACTCCCCAGCTGCAGTGGGAGCTTGGCCAGGCACCTCTGCTGCTGCCGTGGTCCCAGCTGGTTTTCTGCCCCTCCTGGGGCTGGCACACCTCTTGGCTCAAAGAGGAGCCTGGGGGTTGTGTTTTATCTCCTTTTTATTCCTGTACTGTGTCTTTCAGCCTCAGTGATTAAAGCCGTCTTAATTGGATTTTAAGTCTGATTTCATGGCTCACAGACGTGATGGACGTAACTGTCCACTCCGTGGCTGGTGAATCTGCCTCTTTGCCTTTTCTTGGCTTCGGAGTCCTGAGCTATAAGATGAAGATGTCACACTACATGCTGCCCACGAGCTTCCCAATTCTCTGATCTTGCAACGAAGGGAGCAGGGCATTGGCCCGAAGTCCAGCCAGCCTCCTCAGCTTGGAGAAAACCCAGTGAAATGCTCTATCTGTCTGGATCCGTTAGGGCAGTCTATTGTAGCTCAGCATTTCCAAAGCTTGTTTGGCTCAGAAATTCTCTTGGGCTTGAAATATATTGAAAGAATCTCTAAATGCTAATGTAAGGAATCCTGGGATATGAACCACCTCTTTGATAAAGAGACAGTCATGAAATTTGGGGGCAAAATTTTTTTTAAATGATCTAGCATTTATTAAGCACTTAGCACAATGTCTGGGACATGTTGAGAACTTAGTAAATGCCAATTGACTGACTTACTATGGGCTAAGCGCTGGAGATACAAAAGAAAAAAGTGTGCTGTCCCTGCCCACAAGGAGAATACATTCTAATGGAGCTGCTTGATTCCCCGTTCTTTGTATCCCCAGAGCTTCACACATAGTAAGCCCGTAATAAATGCTCCTGGTCATGTACTTCCATGAGCGGAGACAGCATGAGTACAACGTAGGCTTGGGAGGATGAATGCTGGGCGCAACGGTGGAGGTGTCGGTAAAGGGTTAGCGTCGAGCCAGGGATTCCAGGAGGCAGAGCTGAGCAGAGGATGCACCCCAGGCATGGGGTCCCACCCGTGCCCACCAGGCAGGAGATGAGCGGGTGTGTGCAGGGCGGGATCAGAGGAGTTTCAGGCTTCCCACTGGCCAAATGTCATCAGTATGTTCAAAACTTGTCATTTCATAGTTACTATGGAAAGAAAAATGGCGAGCTTCATTATTTCTCCTCAAGCCGTTCTTCACATAACACAGAACCAGGTTGTGAAGAATGCAGTTTGGGAAATTCTGGTATAGATGCCCAGACGGACTTCTTAAGTGCCTCCTATGTGTACTTACAAATTTCAGTCCTCACAACAGCACTGGAAAGTGGGCGATGTTATTATTCCTATTTTACACATGAGGAAACTGGAGCAGATGAAGGTGAACTGACATGCCCAGGGTCACACAACCAGTAAGGGTCTGGATTTGAACTCGAGTCCTTCTGACTCCAGGCCAGCGAGGTGCCTAGCAGGCTCTGCTGCTTTGTGTCTGTGGTCTTGGGTAAGTCCTCGGTTTCTTTGGACTTTGTCTACTTTTTCATAAACGCCACAGATCCCGTTCCTTGCTGTGACTGCTTTAGAAGGTTGGGAGGAAGGTCAGATCTAGAAGAGGCTGTTGAGGTCTTCTGGCCAGTCCCTTCATTTCACAGATGAGGAAACTGAGGCTCAGAGATGGGGCGCGACCTGAATTCAGGCCCTCGAACTCCAAGCCCAGCAGCGTTTCCCCTCTGGCAGAGGATTGTAATTGTGACCTGTCATTATACCAATAGTGGTATTACTCCATTCACCTCCCTTATTCACGGTGGGAGCTGCAGATGGCCTTTGAGTATCTGAGAGGAGAAGGAGTGCTTGGCCCGGAGCGGAGCGGGGCAGCTTGAGCTCGGGGAGGGCGAAGCTCCTTTGAAATGACCACCAGGTCCCTGGCTTAGGAAACAGAACAGCTGCAGCCTCCTTGCTCCACTTCTCACTGGACTCTGGGCAAATCCTTGACCTCCCTCAATCTCGGTTTCTTGGTTTTTTCCCCTGCCCCAGCACAGTAGAAGCTACCTTGGCCATGGGGGCCAAGTCATGTTCCAAGAGTCTGGTATCCTTTGGGCACTCTAGAGCTCCTTCCCAGGATGCCAGGCGGCGGATCTAAGAGGAACAGGACCTCCTTTTTCTCCCCAAGAAAAGATACATGGGTTGAATCTTAGCTCTGCTATTTAATCAGGTAGTCATCGTCAAGCCTTTGGTAAGTGCTCCTTGTGAACCAGGCACTGGGGTTACAAATACAAACTAAATGACCTTGGGCAAGTCACAGAACTTCCCTGGACTAGAAAATGACCTCTAAAGTTCAGTTTGATAGGCATTTATTAAGCGCCTGCTGTGTTCTAAGTGCTGGGGATACAGATGAGAAAAAGATGGTCCCTGCCCTTGAGGAGCCTACATTCCAATGGGGGCAGACAAGATAACCCACAAAAGAAGCTACAGAGTGAGGGTGGGTGGTGACCAGGGGTACCCGGTGCAGGGGCATTCTGAGGTTCATAGAGGGGTAGTCTCTTCTCTATCCAGAATCCCTAATCCTGAATGGAAAAAGCCTAGAATGTGATGCTTAAGGTTGTTGGAGAGGGCATGCTTGTTTACGTGTGGTTTGGACTCAAATAAGACCATTTCCAAGGTAGATTTTGTGACTCTCTACATTCCCCCATGATGGAGAAAAAGGGAGATGTAAAGCAATGAAGGAGATAGTCCTGCATTCTTTCAGACAGGTCTTCCAGGGGAAAGGTCGCTAAAACAGGTGGGAGATGGGCACGTGTTAGCCCAGTGATCCGACAGAGATGATGCCCTTAGTCTTTGGGAGCCAGCTTGGAGTAGTGGGAAGAGGGCTAGACTTGGAGGCAGGAAGACCCTGGCTCACCCCTCACCTCTGACCCCTCACCCCTCACACTTACTGCTGAGTGACTCTGGGCACATTGCTTAACCTTAGCGAGACTGTTTCTCATTTTAAGGGGATAGTGCTTTTTGTAGTACCTGGCTCGCAGGATTGTTGTAAAAGCCCTAATAAGTTCATGTATTCAGAGTACTTGGCCAACCTTGGATTGTCATGTAGGTTGAAGCTATTATTACTTTTCCCCAGGTGGTCAGTGAGCTTGGCAAATTTGAAAGGCCGAAGATAGAAAGCTCCAATCTGAAAGACGGGCAGCAGAAGCCTGAAGAAGCCACCAGACATCTGCGTCCATTCCTCAAGAAAGGACTGCACCAGAGCAAGCAGAAGGTCGCCAAGGCAGACAGCTATCCCATCATGCTCTGGTGGTCCCCGCTGACCGGGGAATCGGGAAGGTTAGGTCACTGTGGAGCGGACACTTGCTTTTTCACCATCAACCGGAGCTACCAGCACCACCATCTGACCAAAGCGTTCCTCTTCTATGGTAAGTATTGGGTTTGCCTCTTTTTTCTTTTTTGCTTCTTTATCACTCGTTTTTCAGGGATCAGCTATGTGCCAACCCCACTCCTCCAGAGGAGGAGTTTCTAGAACCACCTTGACTGAGTTGTGGCTGATCTGGTGTCCCCTCATTTAGGCCCTCAGGTGCTGAAAGTCAAGGCACTTGGGTCTGCCTAGTGTTGACTGAACCCTTGTCCACTCACTGCACAGGGAGTAGAGACAGGAACGCCTCTACCCTCTCCCTTTGGCGTAGATCGACGTGAATTAAATACCTGTGGGAGCTAGGTAGTCACTGCAGACTGCACTTCAGCAATGTGAACGGCTGCAGTCAATTCAGATAGCCGTCCTTAACCTGTGGATGCTTCTGAGACAGCCAGGAGACTTTTGTCTCAGCCATAGCTGTTTGCCGTGGACATTAGCCAAACATACTTGGACTACTGAATTAGTCGGAGGCAGAAAAATAAAATTTTAGATCATCAGCTTGTCTCTGACTTCCTAGGTGTGGGAACTCTTTTCACTAGTGCTGAGTTCATCCCATCTATGACTTCGGAGCTAAGGCTTAGGTTTGCCACAAGCTCACTGTGGTCAGTTCCCAGGGTCACATAGCTACAAGTGTCAGAGGCTAGATTTGAACTGAGGTGTCAGGGATGCCGAGCCCAGAACTGTCTCTGATGCCACGCTGACTCTTTATAATGACGAGATAAGGGTCGAAATAACTTTTGTTCATTGTCTTCTTGAAAGGCCGCGGGGGCCAAGTCATGTTCCAAGAGTCTGGCATCCTTTGGGCACTCTAGAGCAAGTTAACCTGTGGTCTGGGAGTTTGTTTTGAAAAATATTTTTGGTAGTTTTCTTTCATTATTACTGGTTTCCTCCTTAATCCTATGTAATCTATGCATTTAAAATTACTATGTCTGGGAAGTAGGCTTCATGAGGCTGCCTCAGACGGTTCAGAGCTCTGGCCTAAGGAGGGGCCTGAGGCGCCTTTGGGGCGTGAAGCGGCCACCAGGTCCCTGGCTTAGGAAACAGAACAGTTGCAGCCTCCTTGCTCCACTTCTCACTGGACTCTGGGCAAATCCTTGACCTCCCTCAATCTCGGTTTCTTGGTTTTTTCCCCTGCCCCAGCACAGTAAAGCTACCTTAATACATTAAAAAAAATTTTTTTAAATTCTGAAGTTAAACACCAAATAAAATGAGCATTTTTAAGTACATAGAACAGAGAAAGAAGATTGTATATGAAACTGTGAATTTCTTTTTAAATATAGTATAGTAAATATAGTAAATTCAGCTTATAACTCTCAAAGCTGTGCTGCTTATCTGTGATTCTTTCTGGATATCTTTCTCTTCTCTCTGTACATTTTAAAAAAATGCTCCAGTGACCCTCTTTAATTTCTTTTCTTTTGCCCACACTGTCACTAAACTTCTTCCCGCCTTCCCTCCATTAGGGGGAAAAAAAAACCCAAAAAGCAAAACAGAACCCTTGTAACAAAAACATGGAATAAAACAAAACAAAATCCACCATTGGCTGTGTCTGAAAATCCATGTCTTACTCTGCCTTTTGAGTCCATCCCCTCTCTCTCAGAAGGTGGGATGCCTGCTTCATCACTGGCCCTCTGCCCTTGGCGTTGCTGGCTGTATTGATCGGAGTTCTTAAGCCTTTCAAAGTTCCGTTAGATTGTGATTCCCTTGAGGGCAGGGAATGTCCTTGCTTCTTTTTGCCCCCAGTGCTTAGCACTATACCTGGCAAATAGTAGGCACTTAATAAATGTTTATTGATTGATTATTTGTCTTTATAAGGTGGTTGTCATTATGAAAATTGTTATCCTGGTTTTACCAAGAAGCTGCCGCTTGCACAGCAGCCACACCCAGCAAAACTGTCCTGACACACAGGTTCAACCACAGTGGGGGTAACCCACAGGCCTCAGACCCATTGAGTTAGGGGGATGTCTGTTTACCTCAAACATGTGAAGACTTCCCCTGCTGGAATGGGCAGATGAGAACAATTTGTGCCAACAGCCACGAAGGGGGCTGAAGCGGATGCCGTAGAGAGCTCAGAGCTTGGTCTCACATGGAAGACACCGACGTCATCGTCCACTGTATCCTGGGCCATCACTAGTCATCCAGACCTTGGTCCTGCCGCTGGAGGAGAGCGAGGCTGGTGTCTTTGCCCAGCTCTGCCTCACTCACACTGATTCACGAGCAAGTCAAGACATCCTGCCATGATGGCATCGGTCCTCTTTGAAAACAACGGAGGAAGAACAACTCCATGCAGATCTTCCCGGGTTCCTCTGAAACCTGCTCTTTCACCATTTCTTCTAGTAAAAACCATCTTCCGTTGCATTGGCGTACTCTCATTTGTGCAGCTGTTCACCAAGTGACAGGCCCCCTTAGGTTACAGTTCTTCACCGCTAAAAATGAGCTGCTAGAAATAGTTTTCTAACATATGGCTCCTTTTCTTCCTTCTTTAATCTCTTTGAGGCATAGGCCTATTAATGATGTCACTTGGTCAGAGGTATGCACAGTGTAGTGACTTTGGGCGTGTAGTTCCAAGTTGCTTTCCAGAAGAACCGGACCTATTCACAGCTTGCCCAGCATTGTATCAGTGTGCCTATTTTTCCACAGTCTCCCCAACAATTGTCGCTTTCCTTTTGTCATCTTTGTCAGTTTAGTAGGCAACTTGAACTTGTCTAATTATTAGTAATTTAAAGCATTTTAGAAAATATTTATTGATAGCTTAGATTTCTCGCTTTGAAAACTACCTGTTCATGTCCTTCAACTAATTTTTTTTTGTTGGAGAATGGCTCTTGTGGTTATAAATTTGAATCAGTCTCTTCTATATCTTGGATATCAGACCTTCATCAGAGAAAGTTGTTTTGAAGATTTTTCCCCCCAATTAAATAGGGGCAGCTAAATAGCACCGTGATTGGAGTGCCGGTCCTCCTGGAGTCAGGAAAACTCATCTTTGTGAGTTCAAATTTGGCCTTAGACACTTATTAACTTTGTGACCCTGGGCAAGTCATTTAATCCTGTTTGCCTCAGTTTCTTCATCTGTAAAACTAGCTGAAGAAGGAAATGGCGAACTACTCCAGTATCTCTGCCAAGAAAATCGCAAATGGGGTCATGAAGAGTTGGACGTGACAGAAATGACTGGACAACAATTGGTTTTCAAAATTTTTTTTTAAATTTATGTATTAAAAATTGTATTGTCTTCTGGGATCTTTTCTAAGATTTGTTGTTAATTTTTTCCTTGTCCATTTATGCCAAAGACAGGTTCTTTATTACTCTTCCAATCAGTGAATGATGTGACCTTTTATATCCAAGTCATGTATCTTTTGGAATTTATCTTTGGTTTATGATGTTAGATGTTGGTCCAAACCTAATTTCTGCCGGATGGTTTTCCAGTTTCTGGGCAATTTTTTGTTCAATGATGAGTCCTTACCCCATCCAGTGGCTGGTGTCTTTGGGTTTATCAAACGCTGAGCTGTTAGGTTTATTGGCATCAATATGATCTACACCTCCTCTGTTCCACTTATCAGCCTCTCTGTTTTTTGTCCAGGACCAAGTTATTTGGATGATTACTGCTTTGTAGCCTTTCTTCCCAGTTTTTTCATTATTTTACTTGAGATGCTAAACTTTTTGTTTCTTCAGATGAGTTTGCTTTTTTTCTTTCTAGATCTGTAAAGTAAGCCTTTGTTAATGTGTACTGCATAAGTCAATTAATTTAGGTAGTATTATCATTTTTATTATGTTGGCACAGCCTACCCATGTGCATTTAATATTTCTTTACGTATTTAGGTCTGTATTTCAGAATGTTTTCTGTTTTATTCATCTAGTTTCTGAGTAGAGAAGTAAACTCCCAAGTATTTAATACATTCTTTAGTTATTTTGAATGGAATTTCTCTATCTCTTCCTGATTTGTTTTGTCGATAATATATAAAAATGCTGATGGACTGAGATGGATGTATTATATCCTTCAGTGTTGCTGAAGTTATTAATTATTCTCAGTTAATTTTAGCTGAATCTCTATAGTCTTTAAGTAAACCATTATGTCTTCTGCAAAGTGGGATGCTTTTGTTTCCTTTCTGCCTGTGCTAATTTCCTCAATTTCTTCTTCTTGTCTTATTGCTATGGCCACCGTTTCTAGCACTGTATCAAATAGTAGTGGCAATAATGGGTATCTTTGCTTTCCCCTGATATTAGAGGTCTTCACTACATATAATGCTGACTCTTGGTTTTAGAGAGATACTCTTTACCATATTAAGGAAAAGTCCATTTATTCCTATGCTTTCTAGGGTTTACAATAAAAATGACCTGTTTGTTTTTTGAAAGATTAAATTCAGATCTGCATCGGTAGAAGGAGTTTTCTTATCTCAGAATTCTGTCTATCAAAGAAACCGAAGGTAAAACAAAAAAGATCACATTCATTGCAGTAAAACTGCCGCTGTACCCGTGGGAACGCGGTGGCGTGTGAATTCTTCTTTCCCAGTCACACAGGTAGGAAGCAGTCGCCGCGTCCAGAGTCGCTGCCTGCGCATCACTGTGCTTCTCTGCGGAATCCGAAGAAGCGCCAGCAGTTTTGTTGTTGACTCCTTCCGTCAAGTCTGACTCTCCGTGGCTCCATCTGGGGTTTTCTTGGCAAAAATCCGGGCGCAGTTTGCCATTTCCTCCTGGTAATGGTGGCTGACGTTTTAAGAGCACGTTTAGTTTGCGGAGCGTTTTACAGAATGATCTTATTTGATTTGGTGACAGCCAGTCGGTGAACATTCATTAAGTCCCTGCTCTGTAGCAGTACCATGATGCGTTTACCTGAGATCTCACCTTCTGTTATCCTGCCTTCCTCACACTGGGAACCAGATTTATATGTTAACATTTTTTGATTTACTTTTTGTTTTTTCTGCTTAAAGATTTGTGACCGTTGTGCCCATTTAGCTCACTCCGATGGTCTGGGAAGGAGGAACAGAGATGTGGCTGGGACGGTGCCGCCGAAAGCCCCAGCGTTGTCCGGCTTGACCCCGCGTGTCATTTGGGATCCCTCCGAGGCTCAGGTTCCATTGTGTGCTGCTTGTCTTTTCCAGGCACTGACTTCAGCATAGACAGCCTGCCCCTGCCGCGGAAGGTCCACCACGACTGGGCCCTCTTTCACGAAGAGTCGCCCAAGAACAACTACAAGCTCTTCCACGAGCCCGTCATCACCTTGTTCAACCACACGGCCACCTTCAGCCGCCATTCCCACCTGCCGTTAACCACTCAGTATCTGGAAGGCGTGGACGCCCTCAAGTCCACCAGGTACATGGTTCCTCTGCACACCAAGAACAGCCTGCGGCAGCGCCTGGCCCCGCTGGCGTACGTGCAGTCTGACTGCGACCCGCCCTCGGACCGCGACAGCTACGTGCGGGAGCTGATGAGTCACATCCAAGTGGACTCTTACGGCGAGTGTCTGCGCAACCGAGATCTCCCTCCGCAGCTGAAGAACCCGGCTTCCATGGACGACGACGGCTTCTACCGGGTCCTCGCGCAGTATAAGTTCATCCTGGCGTTCGAGAACGCCGTCTGCGACGACTACATCACCGAGAAGTTCTGGCGACCCCTGAAGCTGGGCGTGGTCCCCGTCTACTATGGCTCGCCCAGCATTGCCGACTGGCTGCCCAGCAACAAGAGCGCCGTTCTGGTCAAGGGGTTTTCTCACCCGCGGGAGCTGGCAGGCTTCATCAAGCAGCTGGATAACAACGACGAGGAATACGAGGCCTACATAGAGTGGAAGCTGAGGGGCGAGATCTCCAACCGCCACCTGCTCACGGCCTTGAAGGAGCGCGGGTGGGGCGTGCAGGACATCACCCAGGACAACTACATTGATGCCTTTGAGTGCATGGTGTGTAGCAAGGTGTGGGAAAACATCAGGCTGCAGGAGAAGGTAAGCTAATGGGGAGCTGGGGAGATGGGCCCTTCTGCCCATGCAGAAGACCGGGGCGGGTTTGTGGACTCTCAGCTGGAAGGGTGGGTCCTGCCATTGCGGCCCTGGGCTCTGGGCTAGAAGGTCTGCAGAAGGTGAGACCTGCATGTGTCGGGGGAGTTCCCTCGATCAGTGAAGTTACTGTGCCGGTCCTTGTGCCTAAGTGAGAGAGCCTGACTCATTTCTCCAGGGTCACGTAGCTGCTCTGACGTAGCCGACTATAAGCCAATGCAGCCCTGGGCTGCCGTGACTGGCCGAGGGTCCGGGACCCCAGCAGGGGCAGTGGTGGGAGACAGTGAGAAGGAGACTTCAGATGTTGGTGCTGGCTCTAGCTGCCTGCGAGACCTGGGACGGGTCCCCTGTCCTCACTGGACAGCCTTGTTTGTGTCATCTGTGAAACGAGGGGTTGGATAAGATGATGTGGCTGTAAATCTTGATCTGTAAACGTGGAGTGGAGTGGTGAGATCTGGACACCGCATTTTCAGATGGATGTGTCACACTGGAGCATTCCAGCAGAGAGAAGGAAGCCGGGATGGGGAGGGTCCTGCAGGGTTATTAGCATGCTCATTCTGGAAAGTGGAGATTTGGGAGGGAGGGAGCAGAGTTCTCATCAGGGGCTTAGAAGGCCGCCATGTGGAAGAAGATATTCTGCTGGGCCGAGGGTGGCAGAACTGGGAGCAGGGGTGGACGTGGCAGAGAAGCAGTCGCCTCCATGGGACCGAATACGGGAGACCTTCTTCAGAATGAGAGCCGCCCAAGAAGGAAAGAGGCAGCCTCTGGAGGGCTTCTGCACGTCGTCTGGGGCGCTGTGTCTGTGCAGGGGTCAGGTGGGTCAGAGGGAACCTCCGACGTCCTTTCCACTTCGGACGTTCGGCTACCCTGGGAGGCTGCCGGCCATCGCAGTGTCTATGGGGCAGGCCTGTGCTGTCCACAGCGTCATCAGCATTCTTTAGGGATGTCCCACAAGAGAGATGGAGATCTCCTTCCTGCCTTCTGAGGGCAGGGCAGTGGAAAACCCACCCGGCCCTCCCTTGTCCCTCAGTGCCCTTTCACTTCCCGCTGGCTCTGATAGAGTTCCTGGTGGGCGCGAGAGCGTATACTTGTGCTTACATGCCTACACATACAGAGCAATGCCATGTACATGTTTGTGCATATATGTGTATGTTTGTACATACAGTATGTGCTTTCATTTTTTATACTTGTGTTGTTTATATTTATAGGCACCTAGGTGGTGTAGGGGAGGGAGCAGTAAACTTGGAGACAGGAAGACCCGAGTTCAAATGCAGTGTCAGACATTTACTAGCTGGGACCCTGGGCGAGTCATTGACCACCATCTGCCTCGGTGCCTTCATCTGCCAAATGGGGATAGTGACAGCACTTCCCGTGAGATGCTCTTTCTCAAGCACGTGCCACGTGCATGCTAGCCATCATTACTCCTCTTCCCCCTCGGAGGGTGAGCTCCTGGAGGGCAGCTGTGGCTTCATGCGTCCTCGCCACCTGACGTGGTGTCCAGCGCCTGGCAGGCTCCTCATCGAGCCTTGGCCTGTTACTCTGCACTCACCCGGATTACGTCGGGTATTTAGGAGGAAGGAAGAATGCACCAAGGAAGACAGCAGCGAGAAGCTTGTCTTCCTCATCCAAATCCTGTAAACTATGAAAAACGATGAGACACGTTTGTGTGGGCTGTGGTTTACAAATACTTTTCTAGAGTAATTTCATTTGAATCTTATAACTGTCCTGTGAGGTAAGAAGTGGATGGACCTAATTTTTATCCCCATTTTACAGATAGGAAAACCGAGACTCGGGTAAATGATTTGCCTAAGATCATACAATTAAGAACTACTGAAGCTAATGAATGGACTTCATCTTTCTCCAGAATCGTTCAGTTCTGTCTTCAGAATTTTATTTCATTTCTTGATGCCCTCCGCCACTCTTACTTAGAACAGTGGGTGTGTGGACGTAGAGCTGGAAAGGACCTTAGTACATAGAATGTCAGAACTGGAAGAAACCTTGTAAAATTTCAAAGCTGTGGGAGACCTTAGACATAGCCCAGTCTGACCGTGTCGTTTTGTACAGAAGCAGGAGGAGGGACTTCCCCGTGCAGACACCTGGGAGGCTTGCTCTTCTTTTGCCTTTTCCCTGATGCAGCGCTGCTTTGGGGGAGGGGGCCGGGGGTTCCTCTCTCCTTCCCTGTCCCCATTGGCAGTCTTACGTTGGACCATCTCTCCTACTAGGAGACTGGCTTAGGGTCCAGCTGCAAAGTTGCATCGAGCTGAGGAGAGGAGCAGGTCCAGGGAGCCCAGCAAAAGGGCTTGACCCACAGTTTCAGAACCCCAGAGGGGGATCAACCTGAGGACGTTGTGAGAAGACAAGACGTGAGAGCCCAGCAGTCGCCAGAGGTGTGAGCTGCCTTGGCCGAGTACGTTCCCTCCACATATGCCTCCCTACTTGTGTACTCCGTGTGTGGACCCACTTATGCTCTGTGTATTTGTGGTACTCTTCCTGGTGTTCTGTTTCAATGCCTTTCTTTTGATCTCATTGTTTCAACTGGCAGACTATTGAAGGTAAACCCATTTATGGGGGCTCATGAGTGAGAGCCCACAGAGTACTGTGGACCTGGGGGAGCTGTCTCCTGGGGAATCCAGTGGACAGTTGTAAGTTTGGAGAAGAGGGCAAGCATTCTGCTTAGAAGGAAATCTGGGGCCAGGTTTTCCTGCAAATTAGACAATTTCCAGCTTAAGCAATTTACAACTCACAATTTATAGTAATACTGAAGAGAGTAGATGAGTCTGTTGCAATGATCAGAGTACATAATTTTCATTAATGTACTTTGAGTTATTTATCAAGAGGAACAATAGATGTAGCAGACCTTCCTTGTGCCGAAATAAAGATGTACCTACTCTTCGTTTGGTCAGCAGTAAAGAAGATGCCACCTCTGTTGGCTGAGTGGTTGATAAACTCTGCTCTGTTGATCTGGAAGGTTTGCAGCTCAGAGGAACTTGAAGAAGGCAGGTCCTTTGCCACCTTGCCAGTCACGTGGCCCCCAGCTTCCCTTTTCTGGGGAGTGACTGCCATGCCATTCTTCTGTCACCCAGCAGTGCAGCCTCAGGGCCATCTTTTTTCTCTTCCTCTCCTTTATCCATCCTCCCACAGTGTGGTTCTGCCTCTACTGTATACCATCTCCTCTCCTTCCCATGGCCACCCCCTCATCCTGCACCATTACAAGGCCTCCTTTTTGGTCTCCCTGCCCCTCCCTTCTTTGATCTGCCCTCCACACTGCTGCCAAATTGGTGATCCTGAACCTCAGCTCCGACTGTGGCGTGCCCCTGCTCATCTTCTTTGTGTTCTCCTCCCTCCATATCTTTGCTCAGGCTGTGCCCTAGGCCCAGAATGCACTCCCTCCCTCCCTCCCTCCCTCTCTTAATTGAATTTCACCCTGTCCTTAAAGCCCACCCTTGTGCTCCCTGTTCCAGGCAGCTTCCCTCTGTGTCCCCAAGGCTGAGGACTTCCTCCCTCTTCCTCCAGGCCTCATGTAGCCTTTTGTTTTCTAATTGTAATGGACTTTTTATCATGTAATGTGAAGTATATCTCTCTGTTGTGGTTGTTTAATTCTAGGGCAGGGACCATGACTCGAAGCATTCAGTAGATGCTTAATATAAGAGGGCTGGGGTCATGTTAGGGTAGAAAGAACACAGAACACAGTCCCTGAAGTCAGGCGACCTGGGTTCAAGCCCAAATTTTGCCCTGTGTGACTGTGGACAAGTCATTTTTTTCCACTTCCCGCTGAGCCTGAGTTTCTTCATCTGTAAAATGGGGCTAAATGACTCAGCCTGTCTATGACTCGAGGCTGATGTGAACATCAGAGGAGACAGTCTGGTGCTCCATGAAAAGCCCTGGCCCAGAGTGGCTCTTGGCAAACACAGCCTGTTTCTAAGGTATGTCGATCTCCCTCGAGGTGATGCGGTAGAGAGGATAAAAGGCCAAGAGTGGAGACAGAAAGACCTGGGTTCAAATGCCACCTTTGACATTTGCCGTGTGTGACCTTGGGCAAGTCCCTTCACCCTCCTTGGCTACAGTCAGCTCCCTGGGAATTATCTGTCCTTGTTGGTGGACCAGCACTAGGGAAGTCATCCGTGCCCCACATCAGATGTTGGATGCTGATTTGATTTTAAAGAGCCAGTGCCATAGAAGGCAAGTGTGTTGACTGGCTTCAAATCCCCGGTCTGATGTCTCTGACCTCGGGGGCCTTAAGTCTCTTCCCTCCCAGGGCCTCCACTTCTTACCTGTAAAACGAGAGGCTACAGCAGGGCGCTGTTTTCCAGTTTCTGAAGACTCTTCCAGCCAGAGATCCGTGGGCCTCTTTATATCGTTTTTCTAGCTTTATTCTGAGCTTAGTTATTCTGACCGCCAAAGACAATCAGGAAAAAGATTAAAATATGGATCTATAGACCCCCAAATGCTAAATATATTTATAATTTGTTAAAATACATATAAATATGTGTGCACATTTATATGTAAATATAAATACTTATATATAAAATATATAAGTAACAATATATAAATAGTCATAAATATTAATATACAAGTATTATGTGTGCATGTATGTGTATATGTTTAAATAAAACTATAGTGTTGGCTTCTGTGTCCCCTTTTTAATATATTTCTTATTTATATTTAAAAAGATTGATTTTTTTCTTCTATCTACCTTTTTCTGAATTTTGTTACTATTTGTATTGGATTTTTGTGTGTGGTTGCGCTGTGACATGCTGCCTTTATGTAGTTCATAGTTACTATTAAACGACCACCTCAGAATTCGTGAAATCTGGTTGTGGTTTGGAAAATTAGATGTTTGCGTTGAAGTCCACGTCTAGGGCTCCCTGTTCCAGGAAGCTTTCCTGCATGTCCTCTAGACTGGGAGCATCCTCCCTTTTCCTCTTTGTTTTTTAGCGCTTTGTCTAACTTTTTGTAGCCTTTTTAAAAGACACTGGACTCAGAGATTGAGTGGGAAGCAGGAGAGGGCCTCCTTCTGCAGGTAGCTTGCCTTGCCTTGGGCTTATTCATCACTTGCCTTTCTCTTCCTTCTCCTCTGCTTCTTAGGGCTTCCTCCCTAGGAGGTGGAATGCAGATGTGACGCACCTGAGCTGCCCCAAACCCCAGGCTTTTGCCTTCCCCATCCCAGCTCTGCAGTGGACCTCTCTTCGGGAGATGTGGATCCCGAGCTTTGAGCAGTCCAAGAAGGAAGCCCGAGCCCTGAGGCAGTTGGTGGAGAGGAATCAGAATTTCACCGCCCAAGAGTTTTGGACTCTGGTGTTCAAAGACTGACTTCCAAAACTCATCCATTTAGAGCGACCGGACATCCTTCCTAGCTTTCGGCCCGACCCAGACGTGAGCCACAGAATTGATGGTGTTTGCCTCGTGGGTGTGGGATGCTGCTCTCTCGGTTGCCTTAATGACATTGTAGATCAGCAATGATAAGAAAGTGGTTTGTTGACTTCTCCTCTAGGATAGGCATTAATTGGTGCAGTACTCACACTGAGTCCTATCGAATAATTCCCACGAAGTCTTCTTAGAGTTCACCCGTATATTTTTATATTAAAAAAGGATTTCTTGTAGGCATTCATTTTATCCACTTTAAATGGCTAGATTAAAATTCCTGCTGCCTTTATATTGAGGTCCACATCCATGGGCAGTGCCCATTTCAGAGCCTGGGGCAGGTGGCAGGTAGAAATGTTTTGTGCGTTCTGCATCGGTCGTTCCTACCCTCAGAAAGACCATTTCATGGAAGCTGGGCAGCAATCTCTTTGTAAGCCAAGCTTGACAAAGAAAGGCATGACAGTATGGTCCTGAGAAGTCCCGTCTCTGGTGTCCAGGGAGCCGGGCAAAGTCGACTCACAATCTGTCTTCGAGAAACCTTCAAACTCTATGTAAATGGGAGTGATTTGTATTGTTAGCCACTTTGAGAACCCGAGTGTTTCTTCAAGCTGGCATGACAGAGGGAGCGCCGGACCTGGAATCAGGAAATCCTCGGTTCATTTCCTGCTTCTGAAACTTCTAGTTCTGGACCCTCAGCAGCCTCTCTAAGCCTCCGGTTCCTCGTCTGTGGATCGGGGATCATAATACCTATTTCATAGGGTTGTTGTGAGGGTCAGATAAGCTTGTGTATGTTAGCTTTAAAATGTTACAGGAGTGTGCGTTATTATTAGTCCCTGCCTCGTCCCCCAAAAAGCATCTGTGTGCCCTTGTAAAGCTGAACGATTGTGCCTTCTGGCTTGCTGGCCCCAGAGTATTCTACAGTTTAGAGCCAAAAGACCCAGAGGCCACTGACTCCCTGAAGGAGAGGCAGGCAGGTGGAGGGAGGATGACGGATCAGGCGTCAGTTTGGGTCCTGTCTCGGTCGTTTCCTGCTTCTGTGATCTTGGACAAGTTGCCTTTCCTCTCAGGGAGCAGACTGGGGGGTCTTGATTTCCTTCTCTCTAAAATGACGAGATTGGATGAGATGACCTCCAAGTCCCTTCCACCTCTATCCTTCGAGACCCAGAGTCAGGCAAGCAGAGCGAGTCACTGACCCAGGGAACCTCCTTTCCCCTGGCTCCCCCAACAGCCCAGCCAAGATTTATATCCAGATCCTTTAGCCCCGAGGCCACTAGTGTTCTCCACAACATGTCTTTCCCATAGCTAGACATTGGGTTAGCGGTAAAGCTTCGACTAGAGCCCATCTCCTGCCTTAATCCAGGGTCCTTTCCTACGTCTTCATTTGCCCACCTCAGGAAGAAAAAGAAAGACAATCTGTACTCACGAGGACCTGACATTCTAATGGGGGGAACAAGAAGTACATTTTAGAAAATACAAAATATGTAGCAAGTGAATGGTCACAGCTACTAACTGCAGGGTAGTTGGGGGAGGGCAGCTCTAGCTCATGGGGGATCAGGAGGGGCTTCGTGTAGGTGGTGATGCTGAAGGCGCACCTTTAAGGAAGACCATGGAAGGAAGGAGGGAGTGTGTTCCAGGCAGGGGGCATAGCCAGCGTAAATGTGTGGAGATGGTAGATGGAGCACTACGTGAGAGAGAAACAGAGAGAAGGCCAGTTTGGCTGCCTCAGAGGGAGAGTAATTTCCAATGAAGCTGGAAAGATTGGGGTGAGGTGTAGGTCTTTAAAAGTTAAACAGGGGCAGCTAGGAGGCGCAGTGGATAGAGTACTGGCCCTGGAGTCAGGAGGGCCTGAGTTCAAATCTGGCCTCAAACATTTGACGCTAGCTGCGTAACCCTGGGCAAGTCACGTAACCCCATTGCCTAGCCAAAAACAAAAACAAAACAAACAAAAAAAGCAAAAAGAAAAAAGGTTCAACAGAGGAGTTTTATATTCTGTCCTAGAGGCACCTGGAATATTTGATCAAGTGGGAGCATATGGTCAGGATCTGTGTGTAAAGAAAATTTCCCCCTCTCAGAAGAGGCCTACCAGGGGTATGGCTTTGGGCCTAGCTGGAAGAGCATTCTGTACCTTCATCACACTCAAGGGACTGACCATTAGCCCCTCCTTGCTACATATGAGAACGGAGCTCAAGAGATTAGTTTCTTTCAGAGGGGAAAAGAACCTGGGTGAGGTCCTGGACCCAGCTCTGCCCTTGGCTAGCCACGGGATCTCAGATAATGTACTGCTATTCTCTGGGCCTCAGTTTCCTCAACTTGTAACAAAGCAATTGGCCGAGGTAATTGTTGAGGTGATTTCCAGGCCTATAATTTCTTTTGCAACATTGATCGCTAGTGTTTATGTAGCACTTTAAGGTTTGTGAAGCTACCCACATCTGTGGAATGAATTTTAAAAACCTGGCTAAATAAATTCCTAGTTCTGAACCTCAAATGTGTTCAAAGAGGCATCGTGGGACAGTGGGCAGAGGGCTGGCTCTGGCATCAGGAGGCCTCCAATTTAGCTGTTGGCTGTGGGTATGCCCCTGCCCACTCTAAGCCTCAGTTACTTCATCTGTAAGACGGGTTTAGTAATACAGTGCCGACAATCTCGTTCACAAACTTGTGAGCAGTGCCCTCTGTAAGTCACAAATTGCTGTAGATGTAATTGTGGAGGGATGTCATTTTTTATTAATAGGACAAGAACAGAAGTAGAAACATTCCCCAACCCACCCCCCAACATCTGGGGGCACACTCCTCTATGTCACTTCATTCCCTGAGGATAACGGGGTCAATGCTGCAAAGTATCCCCACTCCTACCCCACCAAGGTCACCTCTGAATGCATCCCAAACAAAGCAGACCTGTCATCTTCACTCTGGGGTCAGTCCCACCCTGATCCGGGTCCAGGTGGCTCATCCCGCCTATGCTGGTGGATTGGGTTCAGCCATCTGCAAACCTTGGCATGGACTCCAGAGTTCCAGGACCTCTGGTGGCTTTCCCTTCCTTCCATAGTTCACAAGGTCTTCTATCTTCTGCCCATTCGGTCTTCAGTATTCTCTCCCCCAAGGCAGGGAAAAAATAAAAGACTCAATAGGGAAAGAAGCAACAGCAAGACCGTGCCTCAGGGCTTTACGTTGACCTGGGTTGGGAGAGGAGGCCGCTGGGGTTGCCACTTTCAGCAGGAGCGGGTTAAGATGCTCCTAGCTTTGCGCCTGCATGAGGTTGGAGGCCCATGGAAGCTCATCTCATAGCTGGACAGACACCGGTGAAGGAAAGAGGGTGTGCTGGCCTTTTGTGTGCAGCTCAGGAAGCAAAGTCTTCCTCAAAGGGCAGCAAAAAGTTGCCAGTAGGGTGTGCAGATGAAATGTGCGCCAAGTTCTCTTCATGCCTAGCACTGGGGAGCATAACCAGCAACATGGTTGGGGCTGTGTGCCTGTAGTTACATATTATTGAGAGGAAGAAGGAAAGTTGTTCATCCTGCCACCTGAAACCCCACTAGCGTATCTGGAGGGCTCTAGCTGGGGCCAAGCAGGACTTCCCTTCCCCTTCCCCATCTCAAAGCCTACCCCCAACCTTCCTGATCCTTCCCCTATTGTCCTTTCCTACCCAGACATGGTTCACCCCATCCCCACCCTTTATGGAAGGAACCCAAGAATCCCTCTCCACTCTAACTCCATCCCAGTCTTACTTTACCAGGGTTGGTGGGGCAGACACCACGATGCATCCCCAAGGATTCCTCGGCCTTGCCATCTGCCTTGCATCTACACCCTCCTATACATGATGTCTTCCCCCATTAGAATGTGAGCTCCTTGAGGGCAGGCATTATCTTTTTCTCCATTTTCTCCATTCTCCATTCAGCACTTGGCACAGTTTACATTACCTAAGTGCTTAATAAATGCTGTTTCATTCGTACATCTTTAAGCTGACTTTTGAGCCATCATTTAAAAACCTTACATGCCAGCTTTGCCCGTGCTCCTTTAGAAATGTTTCGTAAATCTATTGCCCACATTGAAGAAATGAACAACGTGCAGTCCTTCCCACCCTGCTTTGCCCTGTTGTGGGGCTCTTCACTGAGTTCACTATAAGAAATGAAGGG